TGCTTTATCCACTGAGCCAAACTAGCCAGGGCTACTGCATTTTTAAAAATTATTGGTATTACAGATGTTCCCCAGCCTTCCCCTTTTGAATACTGCAAGTTTTTATCCCACTACGGGTAGATATTAAATTATTTCCATTTTATAAATAAGGATACTGAGGATAGAGAGATTAAGAAACTGGAGTTCTTGGCATAGAACATGGGAGTTAGAGCCAGAAACCAAGGCTGAAACTTGGGCATCTGTGTCTGCTGGTGGTATCCAGCTGTCCCTTCTTCTCCCCTATGTGGACAGTGCTGGGATCAGTCCCATCTCAGGCTTCTGGAGGCCCCTTACGGTCTGGCTGTGCCCACCATGCAGCTCTGATCCTCGTTGATTCCAGCACTCTATGGCAGGAGAAATCACTGTCTTCCTGGTGTTGGGTGGTAGCACTGGGCTCTGGACAAACCTCAGCTCTATACTTAACTTGCTGTGTATCTCCCCGTTGCCAAAAATAAAAAAAAAAAAAGAGTCTCACTTTTCTCAGTTGTAAACTGAGGTATCTAATAGTAACCCAGCACACGTTCACTGGGCCTGCTCTGGCAGACAATGTGCTAGAAGCTGGGAGTGCAAAGGGGAGTGAGGCTGTCCCTATGTCCTAATGGAGCTGTGCCTACCTGGCATGGGAGAGGGCATACTGTAGGCATTCAGGGAGGGAGGCTGTCTTGTGGTGCAGGATTTGCATGACCTGCTGCTGGCAGCCCAGCAGTCCAGCTTGCTCAGTGGTGTTTCCTTCTGATCAACGAGTGCCTTTGTCCCTAAAGGACTTGCTGTCTGCGGCTTTCTTGTCTCATCTGACAGAGGGCCCCGGAACAGATGGCAAAGCAGTTGGTATCCTCGGCTATTTTTGGTGGGGGAGTCAGTGGGATGTGAACATGGTGGGGCCCAGGTGGTCTCAGACACTGGGAGCTTCACAAGCAACAAGTTGGGGTGGGGGGAGGATGCTCCCTCCAGGATTTTGTGGGCAAATTCACGTACCTTTCACGACAGGGCCAAAGGCCATTTCCTCTGTGCAACCTTGTTTGATTTCTGCAATGGAGCACACACTCACTCCAAAGATGCAGGTTAAGAATCCATCCTCTAAGCGCCCCCCATTTCTTGATTATGGCTCCAAACATACTGAGAGATAGTGACCTAAAGGGATCTCATCTGATGCGTCTCTGGGCCTCTCCTGCTCTGAGCCCACCTGCCTCTCCCAGTTATCACAGGTAAGGAAGTTAGGAGTCCAGACTTTGGAATCACACCGCTGAAATCCACTCCTGTCTCCTTTCTAGCAGAATAACCGTGACCAAGTTTGTAAATCTGTTTTCTCATCCGTAAAACAGGTGATTATCGTGCCTGCCTCCCAGAAATTAAAGGCTTGTTTTGCTCAAAGTACAGTGGATAGCTACCTGTGCAGGCCCATAGATGAGATATCTTTCGCGCCAAGGCCCGCAAGGGGTTGTGGGCCCTCCATCCCTTTTGTGGCATTTCGCTTGGTGTGTGCGTGCCAGCCGGCGGGAGGGAGGTGTTCCTGGGCACCAGGGGGTCCAGAGGGGCCAGAAGTCACCCAGGGAGAAGAGAGGGGCCGGGCTGGGCTGGAAGAAAAGGTCTGCGACATAGCGGCTTTCCGCGGCCTCCCTGCAGACGCACAACTCTCCCCCCCCCCCCCCCCCCCCCCCCGTCCGCCTCCTCTAGTATTTTCCTTCTCCCTCTCCTTCCCGCTCCAGCTCTCTCCTCTAATTCTGCGGCTTCCCCAAGTAGAAGGTGGGTGTGGGGGGGCGGGGGAAAGAGAGCCCCTGGACTAATGTGGGGAGAGGGGCCTCCTGCCCAGACTGCGGTGGAGGAGGGGGCGCCCAGGTCTTTGGGGGGACCCGGGAAATCCCCAGAAATAAGGGCGGGATCTGGGTAGCCCGAACTAGGCTGCCAGGGAGTCGCCGAACCCGCAACGGTAGTCCACGGAGTTCCTGAGACAGCGGCGACTGGGACTTCCAGTGCAGGGGGCGGGGTCAGAGGGGGCGTGGTCTTCCAGGAAGGGGCGGTGCTCAGGTCATTAGGGCTAAACTTCGCCGCAAGGGGCGGAGTCTAGAGTGGGCGGGGCTTTCCTGGAGGCGGGCCAGGGGCGGGGCATCGGGACGGGAGGTGGAGCGTGGAGGTGCGCGCTGGTCCCCCTCCCTCGGACCCGGGTGTCCACGTGACGAGGCAACGCGGAGCCGCCACGGGCCGGGCCCATCCCGCCGCAGCGGCCCCGGGGCCGAGCAGAGTCGAGGTGCGGAGGGATCGGTGCAGAGCGGACCCCGGAGCGCGGCCAGGTGAGGCCGCCTGGGCGGAGGGGGCGGGGGCTGCGCCGGGCGGGCCCTGGCGGGTGCAGGGGGCGTGTTTGCATGTCTGGGGGCGGCAGGGGGAGTGGGTCCGAGGGCGAGCGCCTGTGGCTGTTTGGGCGCTCGCGCCTGCTGTCGCGGGACCAGGGTTGGCTCTGCGCCGGTCCTGGTTCTGCTCGCGGGGCTCGGGGTGTGCGGGACTGTGCGTGCACGCGCGTGTTTGTGTGGAGGGGCCCCGGGCGTGTATCTGCGTATGCGCTGGGCCGTCATTGTGCCTGGCCCGGGTGCGGGGCGCGGGCCTGCCCGGCGCAGCCCCTCCTGCGCGGGTGTTTTCCAAACAGGCTTCCTGCGGAGATGGGCTCTGCTGCAGCCGTAGCTGGAGGGGGGAGCGCCGCCCCCACAGGCCTCCAGAGACCCAGACAGCCCGGGGACTGCAGACAGACACCTGAGGGAGGAAGGGGGCGCGCACCCGGGATGGGTCCAGAGGCCTGGCCAGAGGGCGAGGCCAAGATGGACAGGCTGAGGCAGATGGATAGGGAAGTGGAGGTGGACAAACGGGCGGAGATGGGGAAGAAGGTGGGAAGGGAGGTGGTGAAAAGGACAGAGGCGGGGAGGACGGAGAGTCATTGAGAAAGCAGACAGACAGAGGCCAGACCTGCGAAGAGGCGGAAAGATTAAAAAGGACAGATTCCAATAACCTGCCAGAAGGAAGGTCCTGGGGCTGAGAGCTAAACCCAGGAGCCAAGTCTGAGATGAGGAGTTAAGGACCCCCAACTCCTGGGGTACGCTTCTTCCAAAAACATCCCAGACTGGGGTCCTGGCCAAAAAGAAGCCTCTGGCCATCCCAAGTTAGTTCACCCCTCCGACCCCACCAAATTTTCCCATCCTCTGTGGGCTTCTCCCTCTTGGTTCCATTCCACCTATCAACTCCCTTCCCTGGTATCCCAGCAACCCAGGGCAGTTTAGGAGAGGCAGAGGTGAAGTGGTTGCCATAGCAACAGAGGCGGTGAAAGGTCATTCTGGCATTAGCCTAGGTGGCCCAGCAGCAGGCCAGAGCTGGCATTGAGGGGGGATGGGATGGGAGGCTACAAAATTCTTTTTCTCCTCTCCCATTTTGCCCAGAATGGTGCTGGAAGGAAACCCCGACGTGGGGTCCCCCCGAACCTCAGACCTCCAGCACCCTGGGAGCCAGGGCTCCTGCATCCTCTCTTCTGGTGAAGATGTGCAGCCAGGCGAGGAGCCCATCAAGTATGGCGAACTCATCGTCCTGGGGTGAGCGTCCCTGGCCCAGGTGGGGTGGGGCACCAGGCTCCCTGCAGGGCAACCAAACCAAGGGCCCCAGTCCTCCCCGTCTATGACCTTCTGCTCTTTGTCCTTCCTCACCTTCCCAGCTGAGAGACAGAGTTGACCAAACCCACTCAATTCATAATTGTTATTTTATCTTCCCATTTTTCATAAATTACGAAGACAACTCTTAGCTACCCACCTGTTTCTGATCAGAAAAAAGTAACACAGCTGCCTTTCATGAACCACCTTGTGAGTGTGTAGTTTGAGGTGAAGAACTCTGGTTCTCTATCAAAATTGCTTGGTTCAAATCCTGCCTCTGCAAGTTGTTTAACTTCCCTCTGCCTCCGTTTTCCCCTTTTACAAATAGGGATGATGATAATACCTCAGAGGGTTGTTGGAAGGAAGAAATAAGGTGATTGCTGTAAAGCACGTAGAACAGTGCTTGGCACGTATCAAGTGTTCTGAGAGGCAGGCCTGTGCCAAGCCCTTTCATGGACATTATTTCATTTCAATCTTCACAAAGATGCTGTGAGGAAGGAGGTGAGGAAACCGAGGCTCAGAGAGGGGAAGTGACTGGTCCAAGGGCACACAGCTGGTAAGTGGCAGGGCTGGGATTTGGATCCAGGTTTCTTACTCTAGGTCTAGTGCACTTTCACTAAAGCCACGGCTGGTTTTCACGCTACAGATGAGAGAACTGAGGCCAGAAGAGAGGAAGTGATGTGAGTTGGTGGCTGGGTAGACTTCCTGGTCTCTGCCTGGTCAGGATCCCTGCAACAACCACTTTGCTTTCCCCCCAGACACAGATCCCTCCTTCTCCCCCATGAATACTTCCTTCTGGCCTTTCTCTCTGCCATCTGCCCTGAAGAAAATATCCGAGAAGCTATATTATCATTATGATGATTTTGTAGAAATAATACTGGCTACTGTTTGTTGACATACACATGCCATGTGCTTTAAAATTTTTTTTTTATTGATTTCAGAGAGGAAGGGAGAGAGAGAGAGAGAGAGAGAGAGAGAGAGAGAAACATCAATGATGAGAGAGAATCCCTGATCAGCTGCCTCCTGCATGCCCCCTCCTGAGGATGGACCCCGAAACTTGGGCATGAAATCAAACCGTGACCTCCTGGTTCATAGGTCAACACTCAACCACTGAGCCACACCGGCCAGGCCCATGTGCTTTTAACAATAATAATAGCTAACATTTATTAAGGGTCTGCTATATATATGCCAAACTCTGTGGCAAGCATTTTTAAATGCTTTATCTCATTTAGTTTTCACAATGAACCCACAGGCAGCCCCTGATAAATTAGCCCCATTTTACAGAGGTCATGTGATAAATGGACAAGCCAGGATTTCAGCTAGGCCTTCTGAACCCCAGCCTGTGTCCTGAACTGTCCCACCCCATATGTGGGAGGAGCTTACAAGGGTAAGAGTGATGCCCCTCTCAGGGGTGCTTGCCTTAGAATAGCAGCTGCTTGGTGTTCCAAAGTCAGGGCTGTCTTTGCAGATGGAGGTGAGACCAGTGATGGGGGAGAGCGCAGACCTAGGGTCAGGTCCTCTTGACAGCTGGTGGTTCAATGCTGAGCATTGAAGCCCATACTGGCTGTACATCTGAGCCACCTGGAGAACACATGGAAAGTGGCCAGTGACAGGCCCATCCCACACCTACAGAATCACCATCTCCATGGGTAGGGCCAGGGAATCTGTATTTTAACAAGCTCCTAGAAGGTTCTGATCAAGTGGTCCTTGGCTGTATTTGGCGGCTCTTCATCCTGTCAAACCATCCATTGCTCCCCACTGCTTACAGACTAAAGGCCAGACTCCTCAGCCTGGTTTTCTGGGCCCTTCCACGAACCTCATCTTCTCCTGTTGCACTTCACCACCTGAGTCACCATGCCCTGATCTCATCAAGCTCTGCCAGCCTCAGGGCCATTGCTTACGATGAGCCTTACCTCGAAAAGGGCTTCTGCAGGAGAGGCTGGAGTCAGACCCGAGTTCAAATCTAGACTTTTTCACTTATTGGCCTGGGACCTCGGGCAAGTCATTTTACCTCCCTGAGCCTCAATTTTCCTCATTTGTAAAATGGGAAGAAAGACACTTGCTTGGCAGGACATCGCGCAGGTTCCATTAGGTAATTAATGAAGCACCAGGAACATGGGAGGCTCCAGTACGTGGCAGCAATCAAGTCTGTGACTCACCCCATCCTTGCTTTCCACATCATTCCCTCCGGACAAGAGCTGGAAAGGAAGGTAGAAATTTGATTGAATGGCTGTATGGAGGGCGTGGCATTGTGGGTCTATTTTTTTCTTTCATTCTGGTTTCCAGTAGTACTGTGGTGTCATAAATGGCAGTTTGCTAAAGGTGACTCCTTTCCAGTTCTTCAAGGCCCAGCAGAGGTGTGCTCTCTCCTAGAAACCTGATCCTGGGGCCAGAATTCCCTTCTCCGGCCTCTGGGCTTGTAGTGCACTTGACTTGTGCCTGGGTCATGACAGGTGGCACCCAGGTTCCTTGAAAAGCTGAGGATCCCCCTCTGCCACCACTAGGGCATAGAACTGACCTGTGGTTCATCACTTATGCCACCCCAGTGCCCAGCACCTGGCCGGGCAACGGCTCAGGGGGCCAGGAATCACTGGTTAATTGAATGAAAAATCCTTTCAAGGTGTTCTGACCCAGTCCGCTCCCGAAAGGCCCCACTTTGATCAGTAGGGTCTTCTGGTTGCAGGTGGTCCTAGGGCTTGTTTATTAAGGTAGGATCCGTCCAGAAGTTGGCAGTTCCTACTAGTCTCTCAAAGGCTCACTTGTATCTCTCTCCCTGCAACCTTTGCTTACCTCCCCATATCCACAGCTACAACGGTTGTCTATCCAGTGGGGACAAGGGCCGCCGGCGAAGCCGCCTGGCACTGAACCGCAGGCCACATGCCAACGGAGTGAAGCCAGACGTCATGCACCATATCTCCACGCCGCTCGTCTCCAAGGCAAGCAGCTTCTCCCAGCAGACCCGGGTAGCGGTCCTGCCCTTGCTGCCCACACCCCACTGGAGCCCAGAGCTCACTGTGTCTTTACTCATTGCCTCCTGGGCTGCCAGAGAAATGGCGCTGGTGGGAGAGCCTTTGCAGGGTGCACCGTTCTTTCCAGTTTGCGAAGCATTTCCTTCACCACCAGACGCCATCCACTGGACAGTTAGCAGCATTATGTATTTATTTATTTAATATTTGTATTGATTTCAGAGAGAGGGAGAGAGAGATAGAAACATCAACGATGAGAGAGAATCATTGATCAGGTGTCTCCTGCACGCCCCACACTGGGGATCTACCCCGCAACCTGGGCATGTGCCCTGACTGGGAATCAAACCGTGACTTCCTAGTTCATAGGTCAACACTCAACCACAGAGCCACGCCAGCCGGGCAGCATTATTTTATTTTATTTTTAATAAATTTTTTATTGATTTCAGAGAGGAAGGGAGAGGGAGAGAGAGACAGAAACATCAATGATGAGAGAGAATCATTGATTGGCTGCCTCCTGCATGCCCCCCACTGGGGATCGAGCCTGCAACCTGGGCATGTGCCCTTGACTGGAATTGAAACAGGGATCCTTCAGTCCACAGGCTGACGCTCTATCCACTGAGCCAAACCAGCGAGGGCTAATTTTAGAGGCAGCCCAGGGTCAGAGAGGGGACATGAGAGTCACACAGCAATGACAAAGGAAAAGCCTTTGGGTTAGAATCGGGGCTCTGCTCTTTCCTGCTCCATGACTAGGCCAATTTCTTCTCTCTGAGCTGCTGTTCCCTCAGCTGTACAATGGGAGTGATAACCATGTCTCCTGGTTGGGGTGACTGGAGCGAGCACAGAAGGTAACCTGTGTGAGTGCTGGCTGCGCCTCACACCTCTGCAAAGGGTAGAACCACCATTCCCCGGGAGTGGCCGCTGGCCTCGGCCCCAGCTTCTAGTTCAAAGGCTCACCCTTCTCATGGCCGCTCACTCTTCTTTCCCCCCACCAGGCACTGAGTAACCGGGGCCAGCACAGCATCTCGTACACACTGTCCCGGAGCCATTCGGTCATAGTCGAATACACACATGACAGTGACACAGACATGTTCCAGGTATGCTCAGGCCCTTCTGCAGGCCTCCTGGCCACCAGCCTCAATGGTCGGCTCTACACACCTTCCAGGGGGAGGCTGGGGACCGAAGGCCCTGGGGAAGGTGCTTTGGGGGCCTTAGTGCAGTTGACCTCTCTTCAGATGAGGAAGCAGGACATCCCAGCAAGGGTCACACAGCAGGTCGTCGCTGTATCAAGATTCAAACCCCAGACCGGACGCCCCAGCTGTGGGAGGACATACAGTTTAGGGGTTCAGAGTGCCGTGTGAGAGTCACAGAGAGGAAGGGAGGATCCGATCCACCTGGCTCGGATCCCAGCTCCGTTGCTTACTAGCTTGGTGGCTTTGAGAAAGAGTCACCTACGCTCTCCAGGCCTTGCTTACCTCATCGCTCAGGTGGGGCCCAGAATAGTACCCGCCCGAGGAGTTATTGGGAAGATTAACTGAGATATGGCGCAGAAAATGCTTAGCCAGGAGCCTGGCATATAGTAAACACTACAGATTCATTAGTTCTGCTAATATGTGAGCACTTCCAGACCATGGCTATCACCCTTTCACTGTGCAGTCAGCAAATCGGCCAGTTTTTATTGAGGGGGATGCTCCCCAGAGCTTTGGGGGAGGTGAGGGCGAAGCCCTGGACCTTAGCAACTGGACTTGGAGCTCCCCGGGGACTTGAGATGGTGCTGCCCCCTCATTATTTGGTGACTCTGCATGCAGAGCAGCTACCAGGAACCCCGGGGGTGGGAAGCCGGGGGATGGACCTGTACACACGGCATCCCTGTGCTTGCCTTCCCCTTCCTCACAGATCGGCCGCTCCACAGAGAACATGATCGACTTTGTGGTAACAGACACGTCTCCTGGAGGAGGGGTGACCGAGGGCCCCTCTCCCCAGAGCACCATCTCCCGCTATGCCTGCCGCATCCTGTGTGACCGCCGGCCGCCCTATACTGCCCGCATCTATGCCGCCGGCTTCGATGCCTCCAGCAACATCTTCCTTGGAGTGAGTGAGCCCCAGGCAGGGCCCAGCGCTTCATCTGAGAGTGAGCTGTGGGGTAGGCTGGGGAGGGGCAGCATCCTGGGGTGATGGACCAGCCCTCAGTAATCATAACTCTGACCTGTGCAGGGCTTAGCACCCCACTTAACCAATGAGCAAAGTGAGGTTCAGAGAGGTCAGATGACGTCCAAGGTCAGGCAGCGCCAACGTTAGTCCCCTCTGGGCTACCTGTGACCTTGAGGATAGAGGGACAGCCCCCCTGGCTCATGACCTGCTGGGGGGCCACTTGAGGGTGTGGTCTGATCCCACGTGTGGTCCCAGGAGCGGGCAGCCAAATGGCGGACCCCCGATGGCCTGATGGACGGCTTAACCACCAATGGGGTCCTGGTGATGCACCCAGCGGGCGGCTTCTCTGAGGACTCGGCCCCAGGTGTCTGGCGGGAGATCTCAGTCTGTGGGAACGTCTATACTCTGAGGGACAGCCGCTCGGCACAGCAGCGGGGGAAGCTGGTAGGTGGTCTGTCCCCTCCCTCCCTCCCCGCGCAGTCATCCTTCCTGGGATCTCCAAATCTGCCCGTCCCCCTGCCCAAGCCAGGAGGTGGTCTCCAGTCCTCCTGCACGAGGGAGCCCCAACAGGCTCCAGGTGCCGCTTGCTGCACAGAGGGGACCAGGCTAACGTCCCCAAGCACCACCCTTGTTGGCGGTCAAGGAAGTGGAGCACACACAGGCACGCCATGCAGTACCAAATGGCTTGCAGTGGTTCTCAACCTTCTGGCCCTTTAAATGCAGTTCCTTACGTTGTGACCCAACCATAAAATTATTTTCGTCGCTACTTCATAACTGTGATGTTGCTACTGTGATGAATCGTCATGTAAATATCGGATATGCAGGATGGTCTTAGGCGACCCCTGTGAAAGGGTTGTTCGACCGCCAAAGGGGTCGCGACCCACAGGTTGAGAACCGCTGGCTTAGAGGATGCCAGCAGCAGAACAAAATCACACGCTCTTATGAGAGTGACGCTTGGCCCATGTGTGAGCAGTTTACAGCCTAAAGTGTTGGCAGTTGGTAACGTGTCTGTCACATTCAGACGGGTTTAGCTTTACTATCCTCTCCCAGCGGGAGGGCCTATGGAGTAGTTCTGACGCAGGTGACAGCGAATGCTCCATGTGGTCCGGATAGGAAGCTAACGTTAGGAGCTGGGAGAGGTCACGTGGCCAAGTTCCTCAATGGGCAACGCAGAGCTCCTTCTGGGTATGAGCGTGTCGGGCAAGGAAATGCAAAACCTCAAGGGAAAACGTGGCTTATCTTTCCAGAGCATCAGTTCTACTGGGAGATTTGGGGAAACATTATTTTTAAAAATTACGCACGCGAATGTGTCACTACCATTCGCTGAGTTCCAGGCACGTTCCAGTTTACATTGATTGACTCATGAGAACCACTTGACATACAGGAAAGTGGAATCCATCTGGAGGGTAAGGAAGTGAAGACACAGAAAGGTCGAGTTACTCCACCAGGCACACAGATTTAGTAACTGGTGAGGCCAGAAATCACACCCAGGCAGTCTAGCTCTAGAGTCCGGGCTTTAACCCAGCCTTTGGGACAGCTGCTGTGAGCTCAGTCCCCAGTAATAGAAGAGTTTCCTGCCTCTGCCACTAGGGGGGAGCCTGGGAAAACTCCGTTTGGGTCCAGACCTGATTTGATGGATGAGGTAACCAAGGCCCACACTGTTGAGTGAGGGACCCTGGGAGCACCTGCCAGCCCTCCTTCTGAGATGGTGCTGCCTGCTTCTCGGTCCTCCCCCCTCCTCTGCCCCAACCCTCCCCTTCTCTGTCCCAGCCACACCCCCTCCCGCCAGCCTGCTCTGACAGTCCAGGGTGCCCTCTCCAGGGAGGTTCTGTGGGATGGATGGGTGGCTAGTCCGGGGAGATGGCTGCCCGATGGTAGGGGCGTGGGGGCCTCTTGGGCAGTCAGGCCCTTCTGCTCCCCTGGCAGGTGGAAAACGAGTCCAATGTGCTGCAGGACGGCTCCCTCATCGACCTGTGTGGGGCCACGCTGCTGTGGCGCACGCCGGCGGGGCTGCTGCGGGCGCCCACGCTGAAGCAGCTGGAGGCCCAGCGGCAGGAAGCCAACGCCGCGCGGCCCCAGTGCCCCGTGGGCCTCAGCACCCTGGCCTTCCCCAGCCCCGCCCGGGGCCGCACGGCGCCTGACAAGCAGCAGCCTTGGGTCTACGTTCGTTGCGGCCATGTCCACGGCTACCACGGCTGGGGCTGTCGGCAAGAGCGGGGTCCCCAGGAGCGCGAGTGTCCTCTCTGCCGTCTCGTGGGGCCCTATGTGCCCCTGTGGCTCGGCCAGGAGGCCGGCCTCTGTCTGGACCCCGGACCACCCAGCCACGCCTTTGCACCCTGCGGCCATGTCTGCTCTGAGAAGACTGCCCGCTACTGGGCCCAGACACCGCTGCCCCATGGCACGCACGCTTTCCATGCCGCCTGCCCCTTCTGTGGGGCCTGGCTCACCGGCGAGCATGGCTGTGTCCGCCTCATTTTCCAGGGACCGCTGGACTAGGCTCCCAGGACCCCCTGCTGCCTCGCCCACCTGCCCACCCAGGTCCCCCACCTCCTGCAGCCTAGAGGGAGCTCTGCATGTGGGACTCTACCTGCTGGCACCTATCCACACCACGTGGACGCATCGGATGGGCTGTGCCCCTCCCCTTTTCACCCAAAGGTGTTCCTGAGGCCCGTACTCCAGCCAGAATGACGGGGTCCTCAGCACCAGCTCTGTCCTGGCCTGATGGGAGAAAGCCCACCCCCATCCCTGACCCCTCCTGGGGTGTCTCACATCACGCCGCCTACACTGTGCCACTGGGGGAGTGAAAGGGCCCTGGGCCCCTGACCCCCAGTTTAGGCTGGCTGTGCCCGGAGCCTGCTGACCCAGCTTCAGCTGTTCCCCCTGCTGCTGCCGTGGGGTTCTGTAAACCTTGCTGCTCAGCTGCCCTCACCAACCCCACGTGTCCCGCATGTGTGCCGTGCCCCAGCCCCTGACGGAGTTCCAGGCGGGCGGCAGGCTGGGACCAGCCTCTGCTGATACCACTGTGGGCTGGACTCCATGCCAGGTGGGTTCTGGGGACACAAAGACAATCAGGCCTGGTCCCTGCCTGGTGGAGTACACAGCCTAGTGGACGACAGACCGCATTGCCGAATGACAGCATGGCTTCCTGTGTGCCCGGTCGGAGAGTTACCAGAGGCTGCAGTGCGGGTCTCACTGGCAGGTGGAAAAGTGAGGGAGGGTCACAGGGGAGGTGGCATAGGAGCTCAGGGATCCCCCACAGGAAGGGGAGGGTGCCCTTGGCAGGAGGGAGAGGGAACACAGGCTCAGAGGTAAGGACGCAGGAACTGAGTGGGGTTCAGAGTGGCTGGAGCCGGGGCTCCCGGAGGGCAGGAGGTTGGGGCTGTGCTGACAGGGAAGATGCTGGATGGAGGATTCGGAACCTCATTTGCGGACAGTCAGGAGCCGAGGGAGGAGAGAGGACTCGCAGTTCCAGAGCTTTGGCTGTGATATAAGGGCTACCATTCCCGAATGCCCACTTGTGCCCCGCACTGTGCTAATGATAATAATAACTATGTTCATCGATCACTCACCAGGCATCGGGCTCTGCTTCTCAGAGGTTCGGGTATTTAATCCTCCTGGGAACCCAGGGAGGGAGGTGTTACCATTCCTATTTATGGGCAGATTAAGGCACGTGCTCCACGTCCCGCTGCTAGGAAGTGGCCAGGTCAGATTCCCGCCCACGGCTGCCTGCCTGGACGCAGGGCCTGCCCTCTTCTCCATTACACGGTGCTGCTTTCCTTGAACTGGGTGGGAGCCGTGGGGAGGGCAGCCCAGGTGAGGGGAGCAGCCTGGCACAGGTGCGGCCCGGAAAATGGGCCGGGTGTGGAGGGGGCAGAAAAGAGGAGAGAGGGTGGGGACATTGGACTGGGGCCTGGTGGGCTGTGGTTGCCATGGAGGCCAATCTGAATCGGATCCCTGAGAGCCAAGACAAGCTGGAGGTGCTGCTGAGGTTGTCCCCAGACTATGTCTAGGGCAACGGTTGCCAACCGGTGGTCCGTGAGGTCCGAAAGGTTGGTGACCGCTGCTCTAGGGGGAGTGAGCTAGGGCAACAGGTAGACAGAGGTTCTGGAGATATAAAAACCTGAAGAAGAGGCTCTGAATACAAGCCTGACCTGGACATCATCCCCAGTGGAAGATGGCTGTCTTAGGGAGTGCAGATTCCTGGGGGGCCAGGGGGGGGGGGAGGACGGCCGCCCCAGGCCGCACAGACAGTGGGAGCACAGAGACCCGACCTGGGGCTATTGAGAGGACAGAGGGCCCCCATGAGTGGTGAGAGGGGGATGTGATCAGCCTTGCCTCCAGAGCATCACACTGCCAGAGTAGGGGAGCCCCGCTGGGGATGCTGGGAGGGGTATGGGAGCATGGCGGCTCCTACACACACACACAGCACTAGGAATCCAACTCTACCCAGTGGTTTTCTCTCGACCCGGTTGGGAACCAGATGGGAACATCCTGGTCCCAGGTCTAGCAGGGAATCTCAGACTCTGGAAGAGAGATGAGCAACGGGCACAGGCACAACCCCAAGGAGAACTCAGAAGTGTTGGTGGAGGGGATCAGACAGCCCTGGTCTGGGCCCAGCTCTGCCCTTTTCCACTCCTGGAGTCTCCGTTTCCTCGGTTGTTAAATGGAATAAAAGTCCCGTCACCAGGTGGTTGTGAATTATGGAGGGTACCTGTAATACAGTAGGTACTTAATGTTCTTTCCTCACCCGTCTCTTCTTCATTCCCATGAGAAGAGACAAGGCTGGGACAGTCAGGACTCCAGGTGTGTGTGTGTGTGTGTGTGTGTGTGTGTGTGTGTGTGTGTTGAGGCAGGTGGAGTCTGAGGAAGGCTGAATCCCAGTTCAGGGACACCGGAGGACATGCTAGATGGCCTTAGGGAAGTCGATGAACCTATTAGCCTCAGTTTCCCCATCTGTACAATAGGTAAAATAATGATATCCTATTTCAAGGTTTTTTGCAAAATTAAATGAGAGCCTCCATGTCCAGCTGCTAGTACAGGACCCCAGTGAGGCTCGGAGTAGCTAGGATCAGAAAAAGGCAGCTTGTTGAGGCTCCCAGGGGTACTGGGGTCTTTTTTTGGCCTGAATTGCCCACTGGTGGCAGTGGACAGCACCTCCTTTACTGGTGTACATTTCAACTCCACCCCCGTCAGGAAGAAAGATTTTATACTCAAAGACCATGAAAATGAGGCACAAGAAAGAAGGGTGTCATTCCTAAGGACATAGACCAATTTATTGAGCTCCTCCTATGATCATCATCAGCGCGAACAGTTGCACTGTTGTGCCAAGCAGAGCTTGGGCACCTTTCTGAACAAGCAGCTGGTGCTCACGTTGGGCAGATGTTGCTTTGGGGCAAGACGTGTGGCAAAGCCAAGACAGGCAAGGAGGGGATGTGGATTTCAGGTGCCCCCTTCTCCTGCATCCTCTCTGCACAACACTAGGGGGCAGCACTAACCAGTCCACACTTCACTGAAGCTGACATCCCTCAGAGTGGAAACAAGTATCAGCCCAGTTTTTCTGCCAACACTCAGAGAGGTAAAGCGACCCAACCAAGGACACAGCCGGTAGGCGGTGGAGGCCAGATTCACTTCAGATGGCCTGACTCCGCCTCCACTCTGATCGGGGCCCTCACAATACTCCCCTAGGTCCCAGCTGGGCCCCAGGCACTTTCATGGGCTGTGCCCCACCCAGGCCCTACTCCAGTGAGACCATCCAGACATACAAGGTGGGTCTCAGGCCCGGCTCCGCCCTGGTCAGCCTTTCTAGGTCGCAGGCGGCTTTCTCATCCGCCAGGCGCCCGCCAAGCAGCAAGAAACTGCCAGGCCCCTCGCTTCCTTGTGCTTAAAAAAATGAGGCTCAGAGATGTTTAGCGGCTGCCGCCACCACCCTTCCGGCCCATGGTGAGTCGGTGGTGGTGCCGGCACGGGTGGGACCATCCGAACCCAGGCTGCAGCCTGCTCGCCGGCAGCCGGTGTGTTCTGCTGGGAGAGCTTGGCCGACTCCAAAGAATCTCCACCCACTGGCCATCGAATCCAGCGAGGGCGGGGGAGCCGCGTCCTCCCCGTGGTGCAGGCTTCCACCTGCAGAGAGCTGAGGTCGGGAACCGGGAAAACCCCAAAGGAGATCGGGTCGGGGCTGTGTGTGGGGCGGGGAGTGGAGATCCCTGGCGCTCCGTCGGCTACACCATGCCGCCCCGCCCGGAGCGGGGACCTGGTCAGCCCGGTCTGCCGGCGCCAGGCCGCGGCCAGGCCCGCCGCGCGGGTTCCCGCCCCGGCGCGAGCACCACCTACGGACAAAAGGCCAAGGCCGCAGGGTCCCCACCCCCAACCCCCGCGCGACCCCAAAGCACCGGGAAGCGGGCGGCCGGCAGGCCGGCGGAGCACGCCTCGGCGCTCCTATTGGCTGGAGGTGACGCCCATCTGGGTCCCGAGGCCCGACAATTGGCCGGCGGGGGAGGAGTTCGCGGAGCCCCAATGAATGGGGGAGCCGGAAGCAGGAAGTGAGTTTGCGATCGGAGCCGCGGCAGCAGGTGAGGCGCGGCGCCTGGGTGTCGGGTCATAATGTGTCATCCTCGGGGGACAGGGCGAATCTGGACCGGGTGCAAGACCATTCCTTTCTCCCCCCGCATCCGGTACCCCTTCTAAAGCCATCGAGGCCCCGAGCCGAGGAATGCCCCTGGCAGCAAAGGGTTAACGCCCCTTGCAGAACCTGGGCGATTGTGCTTTTGGGGCGGAGCATCGGGGCGGCCGGGGATGCTGGAGACACTTGACCCGCCAGGGCGGGAGGACGGTGTGAGAATGTTCTGGGTTGAGAGACCCCTGGGTGCCTACAGGCTGTGAGATCTTGGTAAGTTACTTGGTCTCGCTAAGCCTCAGCCTCCGTATCTGTAAAAAGTGAGTTTTCTTCCAGCGCCGAACTTGGGTGGCTCTGTAGCTCCCCCGGCCGAGCACAGGGAGAGAGCAGCAGGATGCAGGGGGCAGATCCTGCGAGCACTGAGAGAGGAAAAGGAAAAGCATTAACTGCTGTAGGTACATTCCGTCAGCGGTGACCTTATCTAATTTGCACGCCCACCTGGTGAGGTTGGGGTTGTTACCACCTTCCCCGCGCCCCCCCCCCCCCCCCCCCTTGTACAGAGGCGGAAACCGAGGCCCAGAAAAGTGAAACAGTTGACTTGATTTTAGGAGTCTGGGACTGAGCCAGGACTGGAACTGGGTCTTCCAGCCGGTAGCCTGGGGCTCTGTCCTTGTGAACAAGGGGTGAGTGGAACTGAAGAACCTGCAGGAGAATTTTGAAGGCCAGGAGGTCAGGAGGAGCGGGTAGTCAGAGAAGGATGTGGGCTGGGCGTCTAGAAATGCAGGTCTCTGCTTCTGACCCTTCCCTTGTGTTGTTGGGCACAGCTCCTAACCTCTCCGGGCCTCAGTTTCCCCATCTGTAAGACTAGGTAGTTGGATTCAATATTTAAGGCTGAGGGGCCACAGGCCAAATATGGCCCACCAATGTATTTTGTAATTTCCCTGGGTGAGTCACCTAACCTTCTTGGAGCCTCAGTGAGCATATCTGGTGAATGGGTACAATGGCATTTCCTTCCTCATGGGCTTTGGGGAGAATTAAATGAAATCATGCGAGTGCAGAGCCAGGGGTGCAGTTGATGTGGTGTAAATGACAGCTGTGATGATGGCAATGGTTCTCAGCAGGACCCATGGCGGACACCCAGTACATCCTGCCCAATGACATCGGCGTGTCTAGCCTGGACTGCCGCGAGGCCTTCCGCCTGCTGTCGCCCACAGAGCGCCTCTATGCCCACCACCTGTCACGCGCCGCCTGGTATGGAGGCCTGGCTGTGCTGCTGCAGACCTCCCCGGAGGCCCCCTACATCTATGCCCTGCTCAGCCGCCTCTTCCGTGCCCAGGATCCGGATGAGCTCCGCCAGCACGCCCTGGCTGAGGGCCTTACCGAGGAGGAGTACCAGGTCAGTTCTTTCAGGCCAACCTGCATTTCGTAAATGGTCTCTGAGTGTGAGGGACCAGGAAGGAGGGGGATAAAGGTCTTTCTCTCTCTTTGGATCAAGACCCAAAATTACAAATACTGGAGCCTCAGTCTTCTCGTTTGCAAAATATGCACAAGGGTAGTCTATACCTCTTAGAGTTGTGGTGACCTGCCTCCAAGATAAAGTTTGGCTGCAGTGATTGTAACAGGATTGTGAGTAAAGAGAACAGCTGGAGATTCAGAGATGGTAGAGGAATGAGGCCAGGGTAGGAATCAGGTCTGTGTGTGGACCAGTCCCTGGGCAAAATATTCTTCCTGTCCCTGGTTTTTGTTTGTTTGTGGGTTGGTTGGCCAAATAATACATGAATGCATTCTTAATGTATTGCAGAGATCACTCATTCTCAGTGTCTTTCCCAGAGGTAACCACTGAGGACAGCCTTTTCAACCCTCTGTACCACAGACTCCCACAGACTCCCACTCTCAGTTCCTTATTTTCTCTTTTACATAAATGAGATCATTTTCTCTGTGTTCCTCTGAGCCCTGCTTTTTTCACCGAACACCATGTCTTGGAAATTTTTCATGGGATACATAGAAATCCACCTCATTCTTTTTTATTGGCTGCGAAGCATTCCACAGCAGTGTACACTATAATCAATATGATCTTTTCTTTATTGCTGGACGTTAATTGTTCCCAGTTCTATAAACAGTACCACAGTGAGCATATCTGTGCACGTGGGTGAGTAGGATCTATTTCTAGGAGTAGAATCGCCAGGGCAAAGACTCGGTACAGTTACCGTTGGTCGGTGCTGGTAAGTCATCTTCTAAAAAAGCTTCACCAAGAATATATGAGGCTGTGGCCTGTGTTTCTAGATGTAAAATAAAGGGGTTGGATTGCTTATCTCTGAGCTGAGGCCCAGGCGGTTTCTTCTATCTTTTTCAACCTTTGTGTAATCACGTCCCATCTCTAGGCCTTGATTCACTCATTAAAAGAGCTAAAAGCTGGGGAACTGCTTATAAATGGAAAAGCGCTGCTCAAGTACTCCTATTTCCGGTGGGATTCCTTTGTTTGTAAAAAGCAGAAACTCACCTCAAATAGACTTAACTGAAAAAGGAAATCATGACTTCTAGTTTCTGGCCCGGCATGTAAAGAGCTTAGAAGTCTCCAGTCTGTCCTAATGACAAGCTAAAAAGCTGGACAAACTGAAAGTCAGCAACTCTTCTTAGATCACTGGGTAAAGTGAGGTCACAGGGCAAACTCTTGTTCCCCAAATTGGAGAGAGGCAGGCAGGACAGAGAATTACAACTTATCAGAGCAAAACTTCATGAGCAGAAACCTCCACTGGAACCAGTGCTGGGGGAGAAAAACCTGAGCTGAAATTGGCGACTTGCTCAGTGTGGACAACTCTGAGCTTTAAAAACTCCAGAGGGACCCAGTCATATGGAGGGGGGGGGGGTGGGAGGGGGATCCCCACACTCTTGGAGATTTTACCTCCAGGATCTTGACCTAGTTCTCAGAATGAATCTCCGAGGTAAAGCCCCTCGTGGTTCCTGCAGGAGGAGGAGAGAAGGAGCCATTTTTGAAATGTGCTAAACATTCTGTTCTTAACACTGCCCTCAGGAGAAACTGTTTAGCCAGAGCCTTATGGAAGGGTTTTGTCAGAACATGACTGACCTGGGGGAAAGGAAATAACTGGCTCCAGCCCACTCTAGCCATCCCGTCCCACCCAAGAGGGAGTCAGGGACGTAGAACTGTGAAGCTCATGTGAGGTTCTCAGTCCAGAGGCAAAGGCTCACTGAAAGACAGACCTGCCTGGCCCTGTGGCGTCAACCTATGAACCAGAAAGTCACGGCTGGATTCCGGGTCAGGGCACATGCCTGGGTTGCAGGCTCCATCCCCAGTAGGGGGCATGCAGGAGGCGGCCGATCAATGATTCTCTCTCATCATTGATGTTTCTATTTCTCCCTCTCTCTTCCTCTCTGAAATCAGTAAAAATATTTTTTAAAAAGCAAAACAAAAAAACAAGTCAGACCTTTAAAATAAATAAAAATAAAAAAAAGTAAAAGACTGAGACCTGATCGTGGGACCATAGAATGCTTTCCCTGCCCCCAAACCTACCACCACATTCCTGAAGCCCTCTTTACAGCAAGCAGCTCCTTTTAGCTAGTGCATCATATCTGGCTATCAAGAATAAATTTACAAAACATACCAAAGGCAAAAAACATGGGTTGAAAAGACAGAGCAAACATCAGAACCGGACTCAGATATGACAGGAATGTTGTACTTCTCAGATTAGGAGTTGACGCAACTATGATTAATATGTTAAGGGCTCTAATGGATAAAGTAGACCACGTGGAAGGAAGATGAGCAATGCAAATAGAGGTGGGAATTCTAAGGAAGAACCCTGGGCAGACTCTGCTGAAGCTCAGAAACACTGTAAAGAAGAAGAATGCCCTTGAGGGGTTCATTAGGAGACGGGACCCTGCTGAGGAAAGAATCTCTGAGTTTGGGGATATCTCAATAGAAACCTCCAAAACTGAAAAGCAAAGAGAAAAAAGATGGGGGTGGGGTGGGGTCAGAACAGAATATTCGAGAACTGTGGGACACCTATAAGAGGCATAAATTTATGTAATGGGAATATCAGAAGGAGGAGAGAACAGAAGGAAATCGGGAACAATAATGACTGAGAAATGTGTCGCCAGTGGACCTGTTTTGCAGGAAATGTTCAAAGAAGTTCTTTAGAGAGAAGGAAAGGATATAGGTCAGAAACTCATCTCTACATTGGTGATGTAGGAAGAGCATTGGAGAAGGAATAAGTGAAGGTAAAATAAAAGCTTGTTTTTTCTGATTCTTCATGGATCTAAGAGAGAGCAATTTGTTCAAAATCATGGCAACAGTGTATTCAATTACATGTGTCTGTCTGTATGTAAATAAAACGTACGTATGTTACGTATAAGTGAGATAAATGACAACAATGACACAAGGGAGGGAAGGCGGGAATTAGGATTATTATTTTTTTTTATTATAAGGTACTGCTACCACCCAGGAAAGCGTATAGTGTTATTTGAAAATGGACTTGGGTTAGTTGTAAATGTATTTTGGGTGAAGGGAGATGTGAGATTTGGGGCCGGAGGAAGGGAGACTGTTTTGGGCCAGCAAAAGCCATAGAGTAGATGACCAATACCGCTCCAGCCCTAACAGTGGATGCTGCCGGTGCCAGCTAGCTGCCGGCCAGGTTGGGGGCAGAGGACAGCAGGTTTGCTGCACAAGGAGGCGGTGTTTAAACTGGGCTTTGAGGTCATATGGGATGGCCACAGGTGGCTGAGAGGGTGCTGGGCATAGTGGGGACAAAGGTGGGTGAGCACCTGGATATGTTTGGGTGCTGCTGAGACCAGTTTGGAGGGACAGTGGGTGTGTGAAGATCGGTCTGTGAAGGTATGTTGGGGCCAGGTGGGGGCCTTCCGGGACCTGGGTCCTGCCCCCAGATTTCCCAGCCTCACCCATACTGGTTCCTCTGGGTGTTACCATCTCAGGAGGGAACTTCCCCGGGTGGGGCGGCTGTGCCTCCAGGTGTCTGATGCCCACCTCCCCCCAGGCGTTCCTGGTCTATGCCGCGGGGGTCTACTCCAACATGGGCAACTACAAGTCCTTTGGCGACACCAAGTTTGTGCCCAACCTGCCCAAGGTGAGCTGAGGGGGGACTGGGGAAGGTCGGGATTTTGGGGCCAGTGGGGTGGGTTCGGGGCCCTGAGCGGAGCATCCACCCTGTCACTGCCATCTGCATGACCTCGGTCAGCCACCCAGCCTCGCTGGGTGCTGCAGCCTCCTCCTGGCCGTGCTGACCCAGGGGGTGGGCGAGGGGAGGATGTGGAAGTGCTCTGGGAACTCTTAGGTGCTTGCAAAAACGAAGCCTGCTGGCACGGGGAGTCCCTCCCTGGGACTGGGGCTCGGGCCCACCTGGGGCCAAGGCAGCTGTTGCACCAGGGCTCCCGGCCCCTCCCGTGCACACGAACTGCCTGGCGATCTTATAGAAATGCAGCTTCTGGTAGAGAAGTCTCGGGTAGGGCCCGAGGCTCGACGTTTCTCGGGCATTGCCAGTGCTGCTGGCCCATCGGTCGCTGGGGGTCTTATGTTGTGGGATGAGAGCTTGGGGTGATGTGGAGGCTCCAGGGGCAGGTCTGGGCAGTGTGGCCAGGCCAATGGACTCCTTCCCCGGCAGGAGAAGCTGGAACGCGTGATCCTGGGGAGTAAGGCCGCTCAGCAGCACCCAGGAGAAGTCAGGGGCCTCTGGCAGACCTGCGGGGAGCTCATGTTCTCTCTGGAGCCGAGGCTTCGACACCTGGGGCTGGGGAAGGAGGTAAGACTCCCCACCACACGGGAGTGGGGGGCTTCCCTTGAGGCCAGCTGGTGTGGTACGGAGAGAGAGGCTGTGGGCTCTGCCTTGCACTCATGAGGCAAAGCTGCTCCCCCCCTCGGGCCTCAGTTTTGCCAGCTGTAAAATGAAAAGCAGCTCGGGTAGCATGCTTTCTGGCACCCTGGGGTGCTGTGTGCAGAAGGAGGGAAGGAGAGAAGAGCTGAGGGCTGGAGGGAGCTGCGGAGGGAAGGAAAGGAGGGGGTTCAGGCTTCCCGTCTCTTGGGCGCTGCGTGGGGTGAGCACATGGCAAGCCGTGCAGTTGGGCCGGCCTGTGAGAGGCCGGAGCAGAGCTTCGGGTCTCTGGAGATGGGCCTCTGCTTCCTCTGTTGTTTGATTTACAGCTTTTTCCCCTGGAAAGAGATGGAGGGGACAGGGTGGGGGCTGCTGAGGAGATGCGGGAGGCCTGGGGCTGGAGAGGGGGCGCTGGGAAGAGGTTCACCAGCCGCCCCTGCAGTCCCCGACCTCCGCAGCTCCTTTCCATCTGCCCCCTCCCCCACAGGGCATCACCACCTATTTCTCTGGGGATTGTACCATGGAAGATGCCAAACTGGCCCAAGACTTTCTGGACTCACAGGTTTGGGGAACTTGGGTTAGTGGTTTGACGGGGGGCCCCCTCACCACTGGCACTTACTCCTGGGTCTCAGCTTGGGTCCTTGATGCCCCCACCCCACCCCAGGCTGAAGGGCCTTATGACAGCCTCCAGACAGGTCGAGGCAGAGCATCAGAGCTGCTGGGGAGTCCCATGCGGGGTTCACCTCCCGGCTCAGCAGCTATGTGCCCCGTTCCTTTGCCTGTGAAATGGGCCCTGCCTTGCGTAGCCCTGGGTTAGCTGTCAGGCGGTGCTTGGCACAGTTGAGTCAGCGCTTAGTAAAAGTTCGTGCCCAGGGTACTGAGCAGAGCAGGAGCATTTCCCCGCTCTCTCCCCTCCCAGCCAGCTCGGGCAGGTCCCCCCGAGCCCCGGCCTTTGACCCCGTATCTTCTGTCCTTGGTGTGACTGGCTTTCCCTCCCCCTCCCCCGCGGCCCTCTCTGGACTTACTTTCCCTCATACCCCTGCCCTGGTCTTTTCCAGAACCTCAGTGCCTACAACACACGGCTCTTCAAGGCGGTTGACCAGGACGGGAAGCCCTGCTACGAGGTGCGCCTGGCTTCGGTGCTTGGCACAGGTGAGCTCCTTTCTGTATTCTGTACATGGGGATGGTGAACACACTAAACTGTGCTTCCAAATATCTCTCAAGGTACCCTCAGGATAAAGCCCAAGGCCGCCTCTACTTTGTTATTCAGGACTCTTTGGTTACAAGTGAGGAAATCCTTCAAATTTGTCTAAACCAAAAGGGGACTTTACAGACAGGGGTAATTAAGAAGCCCAGAGTAGGAAGGCTTTGGGCACAGCTGGCTCCAGCTGCTCAGACAGTGATCTCAGAAAATTTCTCTCTCCATCTCTTGGCTGGGCTCTTTTTAAAAATATATATATATATTTATTGATTTCAGAAAGGAAGGGAGAGGGAGGTAGAAACATCAATGAGAATCATTGATAGGCTGCCTCTTGCACACCCCCTACTGGGGATCGAGCCTGCAACCCAGCATGTGCCCTTGACCAGAATCAAACCCGGGACCCTTCAGTCCACAGGCCGACGCTCTCTCCACTGAGCCAAACCAGCTAGTCGGCTGGGCTCTTTGACTTCATCCTCAGCTGGCTGCTCTCATAGGTCCTGCTGATACTGGACACGAAAGGGTCCGAGCTGCCCGCTGCTACCAGAGTCATATAAGTAGAGACGAGGATGAATCTTTATGGTGCGTTTTATTAATCAGACAGCCGGCAGCCTGAGAGAGCGGCAGGTGCAACACCCTGGAAAGACCGCGCGCTCGGACATTCATTTCAGACAAGCTCTTGTGTCGGGTTCGTGGGTGGGGGACAAAATCTGAAGTTAGTGAGTGTCCAGGGTCTGCCTTTCATCGTCCTTGCAAAGGTCAGGCCCGGAACGCTGTCTTCCTCCAGACAGGCCCTGTCTCCAGGGCCTGTTCTTCCTCTTGCGACACATCCTCCAGTTTCCCGGGTCTGTAAAAAATAATAATAATAAAAAATCTGCTTTACAGTGAGTAGATATTAAACAACTGTTCTATTAAACAACTGATTCTATTTTTATTACGTGCCCCTTCCCTATCACTGCTAGCCACCAGTCTGGTCATTTCAGCAGAAGGAGGGTCCTTTTCTCTCAGAATTTCTTCATAAGAATCTGGGAGTTGTCGAGTAAGACTCCCTCCACGTCCCGCGTGGAGTAGGGTTCGGTATCTGAAAGAGGGGCTGCACACAAATGAGAGAAAAATGACACGAGATAATTTTGAAATATTGGGGGACCAGGCGGGCAAGTCCGGAAGGACTTCCACCGATGCTCAGGCTGCTCCAATCTTTTATTGAGCTTGGAGTAGCCCTTGGGTAAGGAGGTTTCAATGACACACGCATTAGCTCATCAGTAGACAATTTCCAGGAATAGGCAGGATATCTGATCAACAATAATAAACAAGGATCTACACAAGTATCTAAGGAATTCAGTGAACTAAGGTGGGGATGATGCTTTAGTTACCATTATCTAGATTAACTGGGTGGTGTCTAAATTAACTGGGTGGTGCACAGCCCTGACCTTTGCTAGGACTTCAAAGGTTACTAGCTTTTGGGGGTCTCTGTCTATACTCAGCTAGTGAAGACAATAAATGGTTTCCTGCAGGGAGTGACACTAATTTCTCTATTTTGGGTCCCATATTTATCTGTGAACCAATTCCTGTAGTCAAGGGCCAGGTCCCTGAGTGGGTAGATCTGGGTGCCAAGCCTATCTTGGAGCTAGGCAATGAGGTCAGCTCCTCCCACCTGAACTGGAGGTGGTAGTGGTGTGGGGTTCTCAAAGGAAAATTGGGGTCTGTTTCCCGGGGATGTTTGTTACACAGCAACAGATAACTGATACACTCAGGCAGCCTGACACCAAAGCCACACTTTTAAACTATGGTGCCATAGTTTCCCCATCTATAAAATGGAGATAATAATTTCCCTTTCCCCCCAGAATGGCTGTGAGGCTTAAATGAGAAGCCACATGTAAAGCTCTTAGAATATTTCATGTTATATAATATGTCTGTATATATTTTTTAATCCTCACCCGAGGATATTTTTCCGTTGATTTTTTTAGAGAGAGTGGAAGAGAGAGGGAAAGACAGAGAGAAATATCGATGTAAGAGAAACACATTGATTGGTTGCCTCCTGCACTAGCCCTGACCAGGGAGGAGCCTGCAACCAAGGTACATGCCCTTGACTGGAATCGAACCCGGGACCCTTCAGTCCACAAGCTGACGTTCTAGCCACTGAGCCCAACTGGCTTGGGCCATAATATGTCTATTTTTGAAGATGCAAGTTTATACTCATTTCTGTAGGCAATGGGCAGCCACGGAAAAGCTTAGAATAAGTGTGTCACGGTAAGAAGCCTGCTGGGTGTCCTACACTCGCCTTTTCCCTGAGCGATCCCCCTTTCCCCTCAGAGCCTGCTCTAGACTCCGAAATGACTTCCAAGTTGAAGAGCCACGAATTCCGGGGGAGCCGTTTCCAGGTGACCCGGGGGGACTACGCGCCCATCCTGCACAAGGTGGTGGAGCACCTGGAGAAAGCCAAGGTAGGCCTGGCGGGGGTCGAGGTGTGCGGGCTCCAGACCCTTCTGGGCAGCTAAGGGGGGTGGGGGTGGGTGGGTGGCCTGAGGCTGACCAACCTCTTCTCACCCCCAGACGTATGCGGCCAACAGCCACCAGGAGCAGATGCTGGCTCAGTACATAGAGAGCTTCACCCAGGGCTCCATCGAAGCCCACAAGAGGGGCTCCCGCTTCTGGATCCAGGACAAAGGCCCCATCGTGGAGAGGTGAGGGTCCGGCCTTCACCCGCCCCGCCCTCCTGCCCACCCCTCCTCCATCTCTGCCCTTCTCTCCCCCCAGTTACATCGGGTTCATCGAGAGCTACCGAGACCCCTTTGGTTCCCGTGGAGAGTTCGAAGGTAACTTCTAGGAGGCGGGAGGTCAGACTGGAAGCCCTTTCCCTGTGTCCTCTGAGGCGTCTCCCCCTTCCCCTTGGCAGTAATAATAACACTGACAAGTGCCAGCCGTGATGATGTACCCTGTACAGGGCGCTTACCTGTATTAGCTCGTTTAGACACCATTATCCTATGAGGATTTCCACCCTCACTTTACAGATGTGGGAACTGGAGCACAGTAGGTGGGTGGCCGAACCCAGGTGCCTTGGCTCTGAGCCACTTGGGTGCTGCCTCTGGTGTCTGATCTGGACACAGGCTCTGTCTGTTCCAAGCCTGGCTTTGCTACTCAATTAACCCCACCTCCGAGCATCAGTCACTCCCTCTGGGTGTCAGGGGAAGGGAGAGATATGCTCAGCACAATGCCAGGCACATAAAAGTGCTGGGTGGTTGGGAGCATAACTGAGAACCTGACTTGGCTGCTGCTCTCCCAGAGCAGGTGGCAGGCTGCCTCGGCCCCGTGCCCACACGCTCCACAGGACCCGCCTGAGGTTTTAGACTTGTTTCTGCCGAGCTCCTGGACGTAGAGTCTGGAGCATCCAACTGCCAAAAAGCCAGAGAGATTAACTTGGGAGGAGAGAGGAAAGCCCCAGCAGCCGACAGGGGGCTTGATCTGAGCCCATAGATCCAGGCCCCGGACAAGGCGTGCGGGATCAGGCAGGCCGGGGGCCGGAGCGGGAGACAGGTGTGCACAGCCACAGCTTTCCTGCCCGGGTCCTGATCCACCAGGCCTGCTCTGAGGGCTGAAACCCCAGGGCCTCCTCGCAGCCTCGAGCTCAGAGGCCGCCCCCATTTTTTATGTAACTCATTGTGGTTATTAGAAAGGTAGTCCATGTTCATGGCCAACAATTTTGAAACTACAGAAAAAAACTGATTGCACCCACCCCAAGGTTAAAATTTGGAATATACTTTTTGTCTTTGACTTTTCTATAGGGCTATACATGTTTAAACACATATGTGTGTGTGTGTGTGTGTGTGTGTGTGTGTGTGTGTGTGACTTTAAAATCCATGCTTGTTGCAAATAATTAGAACAATCCGGAAGTCTGTAGGACAGAATGTGAAATCTCTCCTTTACTGCCTTCGCCTCTGTCACTCCCTCCAGAGGTCACCACAGTTCAGTTGGTGCGTGAGGCTGCTGAGCAGAATGGCTGGACTGACCTTGTTAGATAGGATGCAGTTCGAGTTCCTGACTCAAAGCAGCGTTTACAAAATTGCACATTTCCAGCTGCTCTCGCCATGCAGGACCGCGCACAGCTCCCCAGAAGAGCACCTTTTTTTTCGCTCCTGAAGTCCCTTCCACTGGGAATCTGATCTCTCTCCCCCTCCCCCTATGTACTCCCACAAACTCCTTTAAGATTCTTCTCAGTTGTTACCCAGCGAAGCGCTTCTCCCCAGTTCCAGCCACCCCAAGCAGTGAGCAGGCAGGGTCACTGCTCTCCCCAGTGGCCAGCGCAGGGTTCTTGCGTGCAGCAGACGTGCACTCCATGCTGAAGACCACGGGTAGAGGGGTTGAGGGGGGCGAGGACCCCTCCCAAGCCCTGCCAACCCGCAGCCCCTCTCCCCCGCAGGCTTCGTGGCCATGGTGAATAAGGCCATGAGTGCCAAGTTTGAGCGGCTGGTGGCGAGTGCGGAGCAGCTGTTGAAGGAGCTGCCCTGGCCCCCAGCCTTCGAGAAGGACAAGTTCCTCACCCCAGACTTCACCTCCCTGGACGTCCTCACCTTCGCTGGCTCCGGCATTCCTGCCGGCATCAACATCCCCAACTGTGAGCTCCCCCAAGGCCCCAGGAGCCTCCATTTAGAGTCTCCCCCTCCTCCTCCACACTCGCCTGGCCACCATTGCCCTCCTCAGTTCGCCGTCCCAGCCTGTTGCCCTTGTCTAGATTCCTTGTCTGTGGCCCTTAACCTTTGCCCCTTCTCTCCGGTTCCCTCCTGCCCTCTCCAGATGACGACCTGCGGCAGACAGAAGGCTTTAAGAACGTGTCACTGGGGAATGTGCTGGCCGTGGCCTACGCCACGCAGCGGGAGAAGCTCACCTTCTTGGAGGAGGAAGACAAGGTGGGCACTGGCAGCCGAGAGGCAGGGCCCGGGGAGCAGCCAGCCTGGTGCAGGGTCTGGGAAAGGGCACCGCTTCTCAGCCGTGTGACCTGTGACTTCAGAGCCCGTGTCCTTACCTGTCAAGAAGGGGAAGCAGTCCCTTCCTCCTGGGCTGTTGCAGGATGAGATGGGCGTACGGTGTCCATTGCGGAGCCTGAGGTGTCGTAGGCCTTTACCGAACGTGTATCATGCTGGGCCCTCGGCGTGGCAGGCTGTATGGCCGTGGTGGGCCGTGGACAGTGTGGGCCTCTGATTGTCTCGGCAGGACCTGTACATCCGCTGGAAGGGGCCCTCCTTTGATGTGCAGGTGGGTCTGCACGAGCTGTTGGGCCACGGCAGCGGCAAGCTCTTCGTGCAGGTAAGGACCTGGCCGGTGGGCCCCGGGCACAGGCCTACAGCTCCCTTGCCCCTGATCAGGCCTCAGGGGTGAAGCTGCTCCAGTATTTGCCTTCAGGGGCTTTGGGGCAGGTGGCGAATATGACCCCTTAAGCAGCGAAGTCCCTATCTCACCCTCCCCCAAGATGTCCCAGAAGCTCCAAGGATTGAAGAGGACCCGCAGGACAGTCCAGCTGAGGTCCCCCCCACAGAATCTCCCCCACAGGAGGAATTGCTGGGCTCCTGCCAAGGAAGCGGCCCTGAGGGTGGGACTCCGGCCACCTTGGAGACAAAGAGGCTGGCAGGGGACAGTCCCTGATGCTTCTGGTCCTGAGGCTATAGCGCTGTCCATCTCTGTAGTGCAGTTCCTAGAGCTTGTACCCTTCAGGTATGGTAGGGAGCCACTTCTCCCCAGAGCAGCCCCTTCCTGCCAGCTGCTCAGAGTGGCTGCAGCCCCCGGGACGCCCACTCAGGGAATGTACAAAAGACAGAGGCTTTCTCGCAAGCTGAGAGATGCCCAGCACAGAGCTGCAGAGATGAGAGAGCTGGAGGGGATGGGTGAGAGCATCCGAGAGTGTGGGCTCTAGGTTGGGCTTGCTCCCTGTGGGTGGGGCTGCCCACTGAATGGGGAAGATAGAACCAGCGCTGGGTCTTGGGATCTGGGCCTGGAAGTCAGGAGGATTCAAAGAGCAGCTGGTGAGAGTAGCAGGCTGGTGTCAGGCCTTGTCTGGGCTTTGAAGTCACAGGGAAGTAGGAACAAATGTGGACAGGTCTGTTCTCCTCACTGAGCCTCAGTTGACATGTCTGTAAAATGGGATTCCTGAGCCCTCCTATGTGGGCTGTTGGGAGGAGTCACAGCAAAGCCTGGGCTTTCCTGGCACACAGAGGCCCTTAGCAAATGGGTTTGTAATAAGAACACATTATTAGGAGACAGTGTGCCCAGGGGTTGTGTGCTCTGATGCTGTTTCGGGGACCTTAGTTTCTGAGCCTCAGTTTCCTCCTCTGTGAAGTGGGGTAATAATAGAACCTTCTTCGTAGGGTGGTTGTGAGGATTGAAGAGATAATGCATGAAAGATGCTTAGCACATGGACAGGACAGTGAGGGTGATGCTTGTTCGAGGTAGAAGCACAGGTGCTGGGCTCTGCCAGCCCGGGGAGCCGGCGGGGAGCCGGAGGGAGGAGCAGCGGGCTCTCTGGCCCACCCACCGGGACACCTCTGCTGGGGTCTGGAGAACCACGTTCGGGTCTTCACATGACGGGGCCTTCAGCGTCCTCTCCCTGCCTTGGGGCAGTGGCCCTGGTTCTTCCACCTCCCCGGGGCTCTGAGGGGGCAGCGGGTATCACAGGACCCAGGTTTGGAGGCAGCGATGTGTCGATGGACCTGCTGCTCCTGCTGTCCGCTCATGGCTCCACAGTCGTTTTTCTGGGCCACTTATCAGGTTCTTGGAGCCCAGGCCTGAGGACCCAGACCTGGGCATGAGCACCTTCCCCCGCCTCGCCCCCTCCACCCCCCCGGCCCATCAATGACCCTTCTCTTGCAGGATGAGAAAGGAGCATTCAACTTCGACCAGAAGACAGTGATCAACCCAGAGACAGGGGAACAGGTGAGGGTGGCCTCGGCGGAGCCCCAGGGTGCTGGGAGGGTGGGCACAGGTGGGGTGACAGCCATCCTTAAACCGGCTTCCTGGGTCTCCCCTCCCAGATTCAGAGCTGGTACCGGAGCGGGGAGACCTGGGACAGCAAGTTCAGCACCATCGCCTCCAGCTACGAAGAGTGCCGGGCAGAGAGCGTGGGCCTCTACCTCTGCCTCCACCCCCAAGTGCTGGAGTACGAGCAGCAGGCGTGGGGGCTGCCTCCTCTTTGGGCGGAGGGGGGCCCGCAGGGAGGGCAGGGCCCCGGCCGCCTCCGACCCCCCTGCCACCGCCCTCTCCTGTCCCCAGGATCTTTGGCTTCGAGGGGGCCGATGCGGAAGATGTGATCTACGTGAACTGGCTCAACATGGTCCGGGCTGGGCTGCTGGCTCTGGAGTTCTACACCCCTGAGGCCTCCAACTGGAGACAGGTGGGGCCCTGGGGGCCCTCAGGAGTGGGGGAGCCCGAGATGGGGACCAGGATCAGGATTCTGGGTACAGGGAGGGGATAGTCTATGAGGCACATGAACTGGGTTTAATCTCAGACTCCACTGCGTCTGGGGACAGGTCACGTCAGTGTCTTGTGAAATGGGAGTAATGAGCTCCCTGCCCACCTTGGAGGGAATCAAGTGAGATGGCTTTACTGCGACTCCTAATAGATGACTAGCTTAGGACTTTGTGCCAGGCCCAGTTCTAAGCCCTTTACATGAATTAACTCATTTGTCCCCAGTACCAACCCCGGGAGGTTGGTACTATTATTACTGTCATTTCAGAGATGAGGAAATTGAGGCCCAAAGAGGTTAAGTAACTTGCTGGTGAGTAGCAGAGCCAGGGTTCAAATCCAAGCATCTGCCTCCAGAGCCATCAGGCCTGACTGCTCGGGTACGAGATGTCCTTTGGAAATAGGCTAAGCAGTAGAATGTTTTAAAAAGTCAAATAAGTATGCTTGCAGGAGGCAATATTATATCATCGAAAGAACACACATTTTAGAGTCGGGAAACGTGGGTCTGAGTGAGTCCTGGCTCTCCCTTAGCAGCTGTGCGACCCTGAGCAAGTCACGTGACCTCTCTGGGCCTCTGTTTGGTCATCTGTGAATTGGGAATAACGATGCCCTCTCTGCCCCTCTGTGGAATGCAAACAAGATTGTGGAGGAGAAAGTGCTTGGGGTCCGAGTGGTGAGGCTACTGCTCTCACAAGGGCAGAGGCCATGCTGGTGGCCAGGGGTGCACAGGTCCTGCCTGGAAATGGCCTCCGTGTCCCCCAGGGCAGCCTGCCCTCCCTTATGAGCAAAGGAAGGAGGGGGCATCTGAGGGAAGAGGAATAGGCAGGAAAGAAGAGAATACAGTAAGGATAATTGACAATGAGCAAGAACTATATATCAGGTCTTGGATCGAACACTTACTATATCTTACCTCAGGGCTACAAATGACTCCGTTCTCCCTGGCCCCTGCAGGCCCACATGCAGGCCCGGTTTGTGATCCTGAGGGTCCTACTGGAGGCCGGCGAGGGACTCGTTACCATCACTCCCACCACGGGCTCCGATGGACGTCCGGATGCCCGGGTCCGCCTTGACCGCAGCAAGATCCGGTCAGTGGGCAAGCCCGCCCTGGAGCGGTTCCTACGGAGACTCCAGGTAAGCGGGGGCCTCTTGCCTCGGAAGCCCCTCCGGACTCACCCTACTTCTCCGCCCGATTTCCCGTTTTGCAGATGATAGGACTGGCTTCATAGGCAAGCCAAAAGGCTCTACAGACGAGTTGTTGAAATTAATAAGAGAGTTCAGCAAGGGTGAATAAAGTCCCAAGAGGATTTTTCATGGAACTTGACAAGCTGATTGTAAAATTTGTTTATTTATTTATCAATCCTCACCTGAGGATATTTTTCCATTGACTTCTAGAGAGAATGGAAGAGAGTGGGAGAAACAGAGAGAGAGAGTTCCATTGACTTCTAGAGAGAATGGAAGAGAGTGGGAGAAACAGAGAGAGAGAGAAACATTGATGTGATAGAGACACATTAATTGGTTGCCTCCCGCAGGCACCTGGTCAGGACAGGGGATCGAGCAAAGTGGTTAGGGCTGATAGTAAAATTTAGGTGGAAGCACAGAGGACTATGAATAAGAGCCGAGGCACTGCTGAAGCAGAACGGGCTGGGAGACTTGCTCCCAGATATCAAAATTTATTCTAAGATTATTGGGTTCAGTGTTGCCCTGGGGCAGCAATAGACACGCTGACCAGTGGAACAGAACCAAGAACCAGGCCTCGACTGTTTGGCATATGGCAGGCGTAGCCTTGCAGATGACTGGGGAAAGGAGGGACCATTCAGAAAGTGGTGCTGAGGCAACAGGCTGTCCTTATTGAGGCTAATTGGATTTCTTCCTGATACCATACACACAACCAGTCTCAGAGAGATTAAAGGTTTAAATGTGAAAGGCAAAGTTTTAAACTGACCTCAGGATGAAGGAGAATTTCGCCAAACACAAGAAGCACAAGCCATCAAGGAAAAGATTGATCTCTTTAACTCCATCAGAAATAACTTTTGTTCATTACAAGTCACCATATAGGAGGTGAGAAGATGAGTCAAACTAGAATAGGGTATTTATATGTTAGCATATATATTAACCAGCGGTGTGAACTAGGGCTGCATGCATGAACACAAGTGAATCGCAGACATAACTTGAGCAGAAAAAGCAAATCACAGAACACGGCGACGTTGACATAATGTGTGGTTGAGGGGAAAACAAGGGAATAAAAGCACAGAATTGAGGGCTGTTTCTTCAGCCCAGAGGCCACAGGGTGCAGGCAAGGAAAGGCAGTTGGACGAACTCTTAAGCTGGATGGCGGTTGCATGGGTGTCTTATTCTTTATAACGTATATGTTAGATATTTTAACAGGCACTCACTGTGTGCTAAGCACTTAGCATGCCTTTCTGTCCTCTTCAGCAGGGCAACACCAAGAGCATGTGTGGTTCAGGGCTGGGCGCCATCAGCTGCGGCCCCGGCAAAGCCCTGTGGATGCGGGGTGGGCGCCCACCGGGCACTGACTCCTTCTGCCTGCCCACAGGTACTGAAGTCCACAGGGGATGTGTCCGGAGGCCGGGCCCTGTACGAGGGGTATGCGGCGGTCACGGATGCTCCCCCCGAGTGCTTCCTCAGCCTCAGGGACACGGTGCTGCTCCGCAAGGAATCTCGGAAGCTCATCGTTCAGCCCAACACTCGCCTCGAAGGTAACGGACTCCTGAGCCTCCTTTGGTGGGGGCCGTGCAGCCCTGTGGGAGCACAGAGGAGGCCTGCAACTGGCCAGGGGCCCAGGGAAGGCTATCTGGGGTGACTCCTACCTATCTCCCTGCCACAGTCCTCCTCAGGCCAAACCTCAGGCCAAAACCTTGGCATCTACCATCACCACCATCACTACCACTGTCCATGGTCATGCTGATGATAAGATGGGAACAGAAGGTTTGAGAAAGGCCAGCAGAGCCAGGGCTAGTGGAACATGCAGACCCCAGGGCGGGCAGGCATGGTACCAGAGAATTGGACCTCGCCCTGAAGTGAGTCACATCAGGCAGTGAGTTGGGACCCAGCGGACAGTGGAACCCAGGGGACAATGTGACTCAGCAGAGCCAGGACAGAGATCAGTAGCCCTGTGGTCCCTCTACCTTCTCAAGTGATGATCCCATTCCCAGAAGCCCTGACCCTGTGTGCATTGCATTTGGATCTTTTGTATTCAAAGCCCTTAGGGATCCCAGCACCTGCTGATTCACTTTCCCTCACCCCTTGACTCGTCTACCCTGACATCTGGCTCACGAGGCACCTATGAAGAGGCGGTGCCAATCAGCGTTTAGAGCATGAGCTTCGGTACTGCTCTGCGACCTTGTCCTAGCACTTGGCTGCTCTGGGCTTGGGTGTCTTCATTCATAAAGCCAGCCTTGATGTGTGCTTACATTGTAGTGAGCCTGAATTAAGTACTTCCTTCAAGTTCTAAGTGCTTTCCATGGACCAACCCTTTAAATCCTCACAATAATCCAATGAGGTAGATATTTTTATTACCCCGTTTTACAGATAAGACAATTGAGGCACAGAGAGTAAATTACTCAAGGCTTATAGCTCGATATTGGAAGAGCCAAGAGTGAATTTAAAAGTGTTTCCTCTTCACTACCACATCCTGGGCAGTAGTGAGGGTTAAATTCAGTAATTACCTCCTACTGGTGAGGAGGAAGCATTTAAGAGGCTTATCCTAAACTCTTTACACTCCAGAGGCTCCATGGGCTTTGACCCTGGCCCATTGTCGACCTCAGCGACCCTCCTGCCTGGTACACTGCCTTCCAGGCACATGGGCCTTTCTGTTTCTCCAACACCCTGAGCTCGCTCTGCTCTTATAACCCCTGCACTCGCTGTTCCCTCTGATTGGCGTGGTCCTCTCCCAGATCTTTGTCTGGATGGCTCTTCTTGTCATTTGGGTCTCTATATAACGGCATCTCCTGGGAGAGGCTGTCTCTGACCCCTCAATCTAAAGCAACCCCTTTGGTCCCTCTTGGCTTTCTCTTCTTCATGCACTCATCACTCTGCCATTTTCCTGTCTGCCTCGTCTCCATGACAGCAGAAGCAGCATATCCCCTGCACCTAGCACAGGGCCTGGCACACTGGAGCTGCTCAGTGCCTGTCAAATGAGTGAAGGAATGAATGAATATGAATCATGCTGGGCACACAGTCAGTGCTGGTTCCATGGACAATATCATCATCACTCTGATTGTTCTGCCCTGCAAGGGCCACTGGGGATCAAGAGGTGAATCGGACCCAGACCCTCGCCTCAAGTAGCTCACAGCCCATTAGGAAAGCCTGCATGAGTGCCCAGGAGATGCAAACAGTGGTTTGAACAGGTAGAGAGAAGGTCACATCCACCTTCAAGGGAGTCGGGGAGGGTTCTGGGGAGGAAGTGGTGACTACACGAGGCCTGAAGGACAGGCTGGATTTTCTTTTTATTTCTTTTTATTTTTTTGTTTGGATTTTCAAAGGTAGTGTTGGTAATGATGATGATAGCTAACTTCCGAGGACTTTCATATGCCAGGCACTGCGTAAAAACTTCCCATGGATTAACTCCCAACAACCTAATGAGGAAGTAACTGTCCCCATTTTTCAGCTGGAAACTGAGACACAGGGGGACTGACTGTGTATTTGCCTGAGGTCACACAACTAGTGGGTGGCAGAACCAGAATTTGAACTTGGGCCATCTGAACCCAGAGCCTGTGCTCTTAGCTCTATACAGCGCACAGTGCCACAGCGCACAACAAGGCACTGTGGGGGGATGTGAGTTAGAGGGAAATGCTTCCAGGAGTACAGTGGGGCCTTGACTTTCGAGTTTAATTCGTTCCGTGACGGAGCTCGTAACTCAAATTTACTCGTATGTCAAATCAATTGTGAACGAGTGAGACACGTGATGCTGGGCTGATGTTGTGGCATTCACTGTGACGTTCGCTGTGCCAACTAGCGGTGGGGTATCTGAAGCTGGCTCGTAACCCGAATTTTAGCTCGCAACTCAAAGCCAAAAATCGGCCAAGAGATGGCTCGTATCTCGAAAAACTTGTTAGTCGGGACACTTGTAAGTGAAGGCCCCACTGTATTCAGAGGACCCTCGGAGCTGCCCCATTTAAGAGATGTGTAAATAGGTCAGAGATAACGCTGCTAGCACTTGTTGAGCACCCACTTGATGCATTATTGTATTTAATCAGTACAGCTTCTTGAGGGAAGAGGTACTGTGCTCACCCCCACTTCACAGATGAGGAAACTGAGGCTTAGAGGTTGAGAAGCGGCCAAGGACAGTGTCTGTTTATCCTGGCATGGCACCTCATATACATCTCTTATTTAATGAATGAATGAATACAGCAATTCATTAAATACTCCCCCTCTAATATTTCCTTCCTCATAGGGTTACTGTAAGGAGGAATAGATAATAAACCTAAAATATTGGACACAATTTTTGCCACATGGTAAGAGCTCAGGAAGAACTAGCCGCCGCTGCTGCTGCTGCTGCTGCTGCTGCTGGTGATGACAATTCTGCTTCCCTATTAAGACCTTTCTCTGCTGCTGTTTTCTCTCCATCTCCTCCCCAGGCTCAGAAGTGCAGCTTCTCGAGTACGAGGCCTCGGCTGCTGGTCTCATCCGATCCTTCTCCGAGCGCTTCCCAGAGGATGGGCCCGAGTTGGAGGAGGTTCTCACCCAGCTGGCCACAGCCGATGCCCAGTTCTGGAAGGGCCCCTGTGAGGCCCCATCTGGCCAGGCGTAAAGCAGATTTGTACAGCCCCCCCCCACTCCATCAAACCAAGGCTGCAAGTGGCCCCCTTTTTATGTGCGCATCAGGGGCTAAGGGAGGGGCAGGAGCTCAGGCCTTGGTGCTACCTCAGCCGAGGGTGGTGACACTAACCCCTTCCATCTGGCAGCACTTTCCACTTTACCAGCTACTTCCCTGTGTTATCTCATTTGATCTGTGCTGCCCTCTGAGGAAGGGGCAAGGCAGGGCGCCTTATCCTGTTTCCCAGATGAGGAAATGGAAGTTCTGAGAAGTGACCTGTCTAGAGCCTGCAGGACTCAAAACCTCTCCCTGTCTAGGGCTCTTCATGGATTACTTTTATAACCAGAAAAATAAATATTAGAAATAAATAAATATTGTGGTCTGAGTAATTTCTCCTTGTGTTTGCTTCACTTTTCTTTTGCTCCTACCAGGGTAGTGGGATCAGGGGCTGGGGAGGGGGCAGGAGGGTCATTTTCAGGCCTCCATCCCCTGAGGATGTGCGCACGGTTACAGAATTGAACATAGCACAGTTTCTGCACTCACTCCCCTTTTGTGGCATTTCTTGTGTTTTGAAATATCCTGGGAGCCTAAAAACTAGAAACCCGCAACTCCAGTCAGAATCCTAGGATGTAATCTCCTGAGCCTTGTGTTTTGTTTTCTGAGCCTGGACCTTTTAGAACATGGCCCTTTTCAACTTGAAGATGGTTCCAGTTACTTTTGCTGCTCAAACACTGGAAGGGCTGCACTCAGGCTTGAAGCCAACGCGCCCTGCCGCTGACCCAGAGATCACAGGGCCCAGGTGCTGCGGCTGGGAAGGAGCAAAGATAAATCCTATGAGCTGGGATGAGGGATTGCGCTTTAGCCGCCAGAAGCCCAGCAAAGAAGCCAGCACATCTCGCATGGCTCCCAGGCTCGGGCCGGAACGTTGCGCTGCCGGAACGTTTGTACGCGAACTTTCCGGAACCCGGAGCGCTTGGATGCTGCACGGCGGCTGGCCAGAGCCGGTTGCCAGGGCGACGCCTGCGAAGATGGCGGCTGCGTCTCCGTTGGATTTCGACAGCGGCAAAGCTGAGAGGTGAAGGCCAACGTCCTTGCGGCCTCTTTTCCTACAGATGTGAAGAGGGTGCCCCCGGGATCTGGCTCCTGACGTTCTTGAACAGCTAGGGAAACAGGCCCAAGCAGTGTGTCGTGTGTGTGTGTGTGTGTGTGTGTGAGTGCTGGAGCCTGGACTTGCACCCCCAGTTCCGGGCTCCCCACACACCTCACTCTCAGAGACGGGCTCCCTCCCTGGGTACTCGCTCTCCAACTCTTTCCCTCCTCTTCCAGCAATGAAGCCAGTTCGAAATGGCTGGATGCGCACTACGACCCCCTGGCCAACATCCACACCTTTTCCGCCTGCCTGGGTGAGTCTGGGGCTGCTGTCCCGGTTCTGGGGAGATGAGTTGTCAGATGACGGTTCTGTAGTGAAGCCGCTGGGCTGATGCCCTGACTTATGGCTCTTTTGTGTTTTCCAGCGCTGGCAGATTTGCATGGGGACGGGGAGTCCAAGGTACGGTACCACCCGCGCAGAAAGGAGAACTGGGAATTGACATGTCCCGATGGCCCCAAAGAATTGACATGTCCCAATGGCCCCAAAGAAGCTCAGCATAATCTGGGTGGAATTCATGAGTACTCTGAAATAGCACATTTAGTGTTAATTTTTTAAAATTGATTTTAGAGAGGAAGGGGAAGGGAGAGAGAGAGAGAGAGAAACATCAATGATGAGAATCATTGATTGGCTGCCTCCCGCAGGCCTCACACTGGGGATTGAACCTGCAACCTAGGCATGTGCCCTTGACTGGAATCGAACCTGGGACCCTTCAGTCCGCAGGCTGATGCCCTATCCATTGAGCCATGCCGGCCAGACTTGTGTTAAATTTTATCTTTATGCAGAAGGTGAAGAGGTCCCATAATACAGAATGCAGAAAGTAAAGCAGAACAAGTGCTGCTGGGCATTTTGCTAAGACAAAGCCTCTTAGTTTTGTTAATTCTTTGCTGGAAGGTCAGGCACCTCCCTTGGCTGGATGTGAGGGGTTAGAATCTGGAGGGGAAGTAGAAGGGAATTGAAGGGACCTTTATGTTTATCAAAAGGACATCGATTTTAAGATTAGCCATAAGCTGATAATGGTTGAAGCTGGGTGATGGGTTCATTATATGAGTCTGTCTACTTTTGTCTGTGACTGAAATTTTTCCATAATAAAAAGGTTGAAATTTAATTTTAAACATAAAAATAGCCCGTTGACCCATGAACCAAGTTGAGGCCAGGGTCGTGGGCTTGATCCCCAGTAGGGGGCGTGCAGTAGGCAGCCAATCAACGATTCTCTCTCAACATTGATGTTTCTATCTTCCTCTCCCTTCTCTGAAATAAAATTTAAAAATTTAAAAATAAATACATAGCATAAAGGTAAATAAAATGTAAACAAAATATAAACAAAGAAATAATTTTAAAGGCACAGGTTGTTAATTTAATTTATTTATTTAGTTCTCATCCCAGAACTTCCTCTTTTTTTTAGAGAGAGAGAAGGGAAGGGAGAGAGAAAGAGAAACATTGATTGGTTGCCTCCCGTACATGCCCCGATCAGGATCGAACCCGTGACCTCAGTGTATGGGACAATGCTCCAACCAACTGAGCCACACTGGTCGGGGCTAGGCACAGGTGTGTTTTCTTTTAAAGGTTGGAAAATATATTGGGCTAAAGAAAGGAAGTTAACATATATTAAGTATCCATTTCTGGACTAGACCCTCTTTGAGGCATTTTCACATACTTAGATATTATTGATCCCCATCTTGTTAATGGGGAAATGGATTCAGAGAGGCTAAGTTTACTGAGTTTGTAGAAAGCAGCAGACCTGGGCCTGTCAGATTCTATGTTATTTATTTGTTCCACTATATAGCTCAACCTTTGTCCTGGGCAGTGAACCCACAATGGGCGCATTAGGTGGGCAGCTCAAGGATACATGGAAAGTGCGGTAGGATTTGTTGCCTTTTGACCCCAAATTCCTATATGTAATACATTCAACAATTCAACAAGCATACAGTGAACCCCTACTGTGTGTCAGCCATTGTGCAGACAGTAAACTCAGAAATGAATCAGTATACAGTCTGGAGGAGATATAGACTGAACACCTAGTGTGTGCTTGGCATTGAGTTTACAGCAGTGAAGTATGGAGAAATCTGACCCACTAACAAATGTAAAATGTTAAATGCCTTTTTTAATGACTAGTTTGCTTACTGTTGATTCCCAACATCTAACCCAGTGCCTGGCACAAATTAGGTACTTGATAAATATTTGTGGGGTAAATGATGGGTGCTAAAATAGAACATATGGAAAGTATTGTGGGAGCACCAGTGAGAGAATAATGAAAGCTATCTGGAGGCACCAGGAGGCAGTAACATGTGAACTAGGTTTTGAAGGATGAATGAAGTATATGAAGACGCACAGAAGAGAGGAAGGGAAAGCAACCCAGCATCACAAGTAGAGGCACAGAGGCTTGGAAGTTCACAGCACACTTGGAAAGAGGAAATTTGGAGTTAGAAGTTGAGGTCAATGTAAAATAGTAGTTAAGGCCACTGGCTTCGGATTCAGACAGACTAGGTTCCAGTTCCAGGCCTACCACATACGAGCTGTGTGAACATTTACGTAATAGCGCTAAGCCACAGCTTTCTCATTTGTGACTAATAATAACACCTCCCTCATATGGTGTTGAGAAGATTAAGTGGAATTCCTGGCGTGGCTCCTGGTGCACTGTGCATGCTCGGAATCCAGACGTTCTGTGGCAGTCCCCATTCTGGCTGGAGCATAGCATGGACGCGAAGGTGATGGTAGACAAGTTGGGAACTAGATCGGAGGGGCCTTGAAGGCCTCGTCAGGAGAATGGGCTTGCATGGCAGCTGCAGTGGCATGGAGTATGGGTTGGAGGGTGAAAAATGAAGACTGGCCCTGAGTCGGTTGGAGCATCACCCTGTACACCAAAAGGTTGTGGGTTCAATTCCCAATCAGGGCACATTCCCAGGTTGCAGGTTCGATTCCAGGTTGGGGCACGTGTGGGGGGATGACCAATTGGTGTTTCTCTTTCACATCAGTGTTTCTCTCTCTCATTCTCTTTTTCTCTTCCTTCCTCTCTAAACACATCCTCGGATGAGAATTAAAGAATAACAACAAAAAAACAGACTGAAGAGCTTGGTTCTGGTCTCTGCATCCACAGAGCACATTCTGCTCTGCATGCTGCTTCCTTAGCTCTGTTCCCATTCGGAAGTCAGGCGTCAGAAGCCCGGAGTTTCCAGTGCCCCACTGACCTCGGCCTCTGTCCCAGTGTCTAGAATAGTGCCTGGCAGGGAGCAGGCCCTGAAATGTTTACTGAATGAATAATGCAAACATCAGCTGCCACCTACTCCTCACTAGGACTCACCATGTTCTGTAATCCATTATCTCATTTGATTTTCGCTACAAGTGTCATGAAATTGCTAGACCCATTTTGCTGGTGGGAAAACAGGCACAGGAAGTTTAAGCAACTTTCCCAAGGTCACAGAGCTGGCAAGCCTTATCGCAGAGCATTTGCTGTTGGGTGGGAGTGAATGAATGAGCACCAGCAAAAGGACTGAGCCCAAGAAGAGGGTCCGGGCCAAGGTCTTTAGGCTCTGAGCCTGGAGTAAGCCAGCCTCTCTTTACAGCTGGTGGTGGGGGACCTTGGCCCGGGCGGGCAGCAGCCCCGCCTGAAGGTGCTCAAAGGACCCAGAGTACTGACTGAAAGCCCACTGCCCGAGCTACCGGCCGCGGCTGCCACCTTCCTCAAGGACCAACATGAGCCCCGAACACCAGCTCTGGCACTTGCTTCAGGCCCTTGCGTGTATGTGTATAAGAATCTTAGGCCCTACTTCAAGTTCAGCCTGCCCCAGTTGCCTGCAAACCCCCTAGAAGAAGATCTTTGGAACCAAGCCAAAGAGGTAAGTGATGTGGGGGATGGGAACAAGAAGGCAAAGATGGCAGCCACTGGGGCATCCTCCTTCTCTGCCGGGCTCTGGAGTTCACAGGCTTTCCCTCCTTCCTATGCTGTTATAGGACCGGATCGACCCCGTGACCCTGAAGGAGATGCTGGAAGACATCCGGTGAGAGCCCACCTCCCCTTCCTCCACCTCCCACCCCGCCCTCCTCTCCGACTCTTTCATCCCAGAGCTCGTGGCCTAACCCCGGGGCTCTGTTCCTCAACTAACCCTGCCATGATTGCCCCTCTCTTCGCAGGGAGAAGGCAGAGGTGCCTTTGTCTGTACAGTCGCTCAGGTAAGGGCCCTCTGAGGGCCTGGGCTCCGGAAGCCCCAGGGGGCAGTGAGTGGCTGAGCGGCCTGTGGACAGCCAGGCCCAGGGCGCGCAGCTGCATGTTCTCTCCAGGTTTCTGCAGCTGGAGCTGAGTGAAATGGAGGCGTTCGTGAACCAGCACAAGTCCAAGGCCATCAAACGTCAGGTAATGCCCCTTGTCTTCATTTCTCCATTAAAAACATGGATTTTTTTTTTAAACCACCAACACCAGAGGTAAATTCTACAACCAGACCTGACTAGTTTCATTTTGCAGTTTCCCTTCCAATCCTGCCACATAGATATGGTCACAAAGCGGCAGGGCCTTCTGCATTTCCAGTTAAGTGACAGCTTTGGCTTGATCTGTAGTTATATAACTTTATAGCGCTTTCATTGTCTTGAAGGTAAAGGTAATATATTCTCATAAGAGAACATTTGGAAAATAAAAGTATAAAGGAGAAATAGAAATGACTACAGTCTCACTACCTGAGGTACTTGCTCTTCTTGTTTTGGTACATTTCCTTCATAAATACACTTTTCTATCCTGCTTCCCTTGAGTAACATGACATATTTTGAACATTAAATAATTTAAGAACTATGGTTTTAGAGGCCCCTGGATTATTTAATTGATTTTTCATTAAGTCATTCAGTGTTTATATAATTAGTCACATGCAAGTCATTGGACAAGAAATGTCCCTTTTATTCACTCCATAGTTTTTTTATTAGTTATACTTTTAATTGCTTTATTGATGAACCTATTCACTGATGAACTCTATCGGCTCCTGACCTGGGGGCTGACCCTTAGTCCAGGGACAGACTCCCAGAGCTGTTCTCTGCATTTTAAAAAAGCCTCATGGGAGCCATGAGGTCACTTGAGCCAAACATGTTGATCAACACAGTCCTCAGCCGTTGGCTAGTCTTAGACCAATTCTGTGAGAAGCATGTTCTCTCCTGCTGATCAGCAGCTCAGATCCACAGCTGTCAATATCTTTGAGTACTTCTAAAACCAGGAAGTGAATCGTTGCTCAAAAGATGCAATTTTGGGGCAGAGGGCAAGCTTTCTAAGTGTGTCATGGGTACATGATTGGGAGCCACTAAGTTCCATACTTCTGTAACCTTTCTCCTTCCACTCAGCTTTTAATCTTAAAGATAATCACACAGCCCTAGCCGGTTTGGCTTAGTGGATAGAGCGTCGGCCTGAGGACTGAAGGGTCCCGGGTTCGATTCCAATCAAGGGCACATGCCCGGGTTGTGAGCTCGATCCTCAGTAGGGGGTGTGCAGGAGGCAGTCAATCAATGATTCCTTCTCATCATTAATGTTTCTATCTATCCTTCCCTCAACCTTCCTCTCTGAAATCAATAAAAATATATTGGGGGAAAAAAGATAATCACACAGTGAGCAGCTTTATTCAAAGAAACACTTGGTCCTGCTAAAATATTTCCATAGGAGAAATTCCTAAAAAGGGGGTCATCCCCTTCTCTTTTGTTTTCTCTCCGATCACAATGACAAAGGAACATGTGCCCACTGTAGAAATTACAGACAAGCACACTGAGAAATTAAATAGCACCCGTGAGCTTGTTGTCCAGAGATAACCAGTGTTAGTATTTAAGGCTTTAGCCTTTCAGCATGTTTTTCTATTCATTTTTAAAAACTGAGATTATACTAATGTAACTTTTTACCTATTTTTTCTCTTAATACATTAGAAGTATTCTCCCTATCTTTGAATCTTCTTTTAAAATGTGATTTTTTAAATGACTGCATGGTTTAGGATCATATGGATAGTTCATAATTGACTTAGACCAGTGATGGTGAACCTTTTGAGCTCGGCGTGTCAGCATTTTGAAAAACCCTAACTTAACTCTGGTGCCATGTCACATATAGAAATTTTTTGATATTTGCAACCATAGTAAAACAAAGACATATTTTTGATATTTATTTTATATATTTAAATGCCATTTAACAAAGAAAAATCAACCAAAAAAATGAGTTCGCGTGTCACCTCTGACACGCTTGTCATAGGTTCGCCATCACTGACTTAGACAATCTTCTTTTGTTAGAAAGTTAGGTTTGTTGCACTAAACACCTTTGTACATAAATCTTCTTTTGCCTCTCTATACTCTTCCTCCTGTTTTACCCTCTTTCTTCCCTCCTGTGGTGTCTTGGGGGTGAATGGGGGGAATGGTGTGTGGGAATCCAGGGTGACCCGTGGAGTCCTTCTGCAGACAGTCATCACCACCATGACCACCTTAAAGAAGAACCTGGCTGACGAAGATGCTGTGTCATGCTTGGTACTGGGCACCGAGAACAAGGAGCTCCTGGTGCTGGACCCGGAGGCCTTCACCACTTTGGCCACGGTCAGTGCGGGGCCTGAAACAGCACACCTGAGGCCCAGCTGCATCCCCTCCCTCTGTCCCCCCACATCCTGCTCCCAGTTCTTGGTAATACATGAAAAATTATAAAATATAGATAAGCATAAAGAAAAAATATATAAAGAAATCCCACCACTCACAGACATTTACCATTAAATCATATGTCTTTCCTGACATTTTCATATTTAGACATAGATATATAACTATATATTTTTTTTTTTACAAAAACGGCCTTGTGGTACAGGATCGTATAACTTGCTCTTTTCACGTAGCAGTAGCTCATCAATGTTTTTCCACATCTACATAAAACCACGTCCTCCTTTTCAAAGGCCTCACAGTATCCATTTTATAGATTCACAACATTTATTCACCCCGTCACCTATTGTGGGTTTAAGTTGTTTTCCAATAATAGTTTTCACTATTAACACCACTGCAGTAGGCATTCTTGCCCAAATGTCTTTCATGCTTGTCTAAACATTTCCTTAGGCTGCATTCCTAGAAGTGGCGTAGTTTAGTCAAAGGCTTGTGCTACATGTCGCTCAGTTTCCCTCCAGAAAAATTGTACGAGTTTAAACTGACCAGCTGGGTATGCGTGAGGAAGTTGGGATTTCAGATAAAGAGTCGGTCCCTTCAAGGTAGGGAAGGACTGGGGCTCCAGAGAAATGGGATGTTTGAGCCTCTTCTTCGCAGATGAGCCTACCCAGCGTCCCCGTCTTCCTGGAGGTGTCTGGCCAGTTCGATGTGGAGTTCCGGCTGGCCGCTGCCTGCCGCAATGGGAACATCTACATCCTGAGAAGGTAGCCACACGTGGTCTCGGGCCAGAGAGAACATCTCAGATACCTGGCAGTTTCTGGGGTTTGCAAGATAAGCAGGGGGCTTGGGGCTGGAATTGGGGAATGAAAAGAGCTGAGACGTGCACATAGGAGGCTGTACCAGGAGCACAGCGGGTATCTGGAGGCTTGTGTGATGGGGTTGGCAAAGTGAGAGACCAGCTGGGTGGCTGAAGCACATGAGCAATGCAATCAGAAATTGGAAGAAATAAAAACAGTCTCATATTTGTTATATTGTTTTATAGGTATGAGACACTTTACAGTGGGTAGTTTGATATTCCTTACAACATTCATTTTTTTAATTGAGAGATGTTTTTGAGCACATACTTAAGCATTGTATAAGGTTTTGATGAACAAAATGAACATCGTTCCTACCCTTATGGGAAGATAGATATTAAAGTCAACAAACCAAGATAATATTGTGAATTGGATACATGCAGTGGAGGAAAAATACAGGCTCAATGGGAAAAAATAATGGGGTCAAGGTGGTCAGCAAATGCCTGTCTGTGGAAATGACGAAGGTGAAGAAGGGGCCAGTTTTTCACAAAGTGCAGGAAGAGTGTTGTAGGCAGAGGGAACCTAAGAACCTCAGGTGGGGAAGACACTGGCATGTGCTGCTCAAGCGAGGTGGGCGAGGGGGAGGGTGGGCAGAGAGGGTGAGGGGGAGGGTGGGCAGAAATGACGTGAAGACCAGGTTGGCTCATGCAGGACCCATTAGGATGTGGTCAAGATTTGGGGTTTTATCTGAAGTCTAGTGGAAAGCTGCTGCGGGATTTTACTCAGAAGAATGACATGATCCATTTACACATTTAAAAGATTACTCTGCTGGGTGGAGGGTAGATTGGCAGGAGGCCCAGGGACCGGTGGGAGGGTCTCAGCTGGGACATGACGTTGGCCCAGACTTGGTGATGAAGAAAATGGACCATAGTCTGTGATTGGTAGGCAGGAACTACCCCTACTTTCTGGGTAAGAGGAACAGATTCAGTCCTAGCCGGTTTTGCTCAGTGGATAGAGTGTCAGCCTGTGGACTGAAGGGTCCCGGGTTCGATTCCAGTCAAGGGCACATGCCTGGGGGTTGCGGGCTTGATCCCCAGTAGGGGGCGTGTGGAAGGCAGCCGATCAATGATTCTCTCTCATCATTGATGTTTACATCTCCCCCTCTCCCTTCCTCTCTGGAATCAATAACAATATATTTTTTAAAAGAGAGAGAAAGAGATTCAGAGGTCAGGACATGGAAGCAGTGCAATTACACAACAACTCCGAGCTGTTCTGATAAGTTACTAAAGTGCCTAAGTCCACTCGCACTACAACTGCCAGGTCATCACACAGATCCCTGTAGTGAAGGTGGGAGGGAGGCCAGGAAGGAGGACACCTTCATGTTCCTCAAGGTCACACAGCTATGAAGAGGTACAGGTGGGAAGAATACCATGGTCCTCTGCTTTGGGGCCAAGGTTCCTTCCAGGATAGTCTGTGGGGCTTAGAAAGAGGAGGGTGAGCCAGGGAGGGAGAGGGTTTCTCTGGGCTGGGAGAGTCTCTCTGCTCCACAGAGACTCCAAGTGCCCCAAGTACTGCATCGAGCTGAGCGCCCAGCCTGTGGGGCTTGTCCGGGTCCACAAGGTCCTGGTGGTGGGCAGCAACCAAGACAGCCTGCATGGCTTCACCCACAAGGTATGGCCTCCGGGCAAGCACCCACCCCCACCCCTCCATGCATGTCTCCCAGGTCCCCTTCCCAGCAATTCTAGCCACCCCCTCTGCCCATTCTAACCCCTAGACCCCTGCAGACACCTGGCTATTCCCTCCCAGGGTAAGAGGCTGTGGACGGTGCAGATGCCTGCAGCCATCCTGACCATGAACCTCCTGGAGCAGCATTCCCGGGGCCTGCAGGCCGTCATGGCCGGGCTAGCCAATGGAGAGGTCCGCATTTACCATGACAAGACCCTGCTCAATGTCATCCGCACCCCGGTGAGCCCTGACTCCTTGCCTCACTCCCACCTCGAGGGCAGCTTAGCTGCCTCCTGATTCCAGTCTATCCACTGCCCTTGACTTTTAATGCATTTCAAAAACATTTGTTCAAAAACATTTGTTGAGCACTTCATATGCACAACTCATTGTATTGAGGGTATAAAACAATGCCAGACCCTTGCCTTCAGGGAGCTTAGTATCCAAGGTGACAGCCAGCCAAAGACAACTGATTCAAATAAAAGGCAGACAGACGCCAAGTGCTGAAAAAGCAGAGCGGGCTGAGTATCGGCGGTAGACAAATGGGGATGGAACTCAGGGATGAGAGGCGCGCGTGCTCTTGGTGAGGGAAGCCAGGAGTTTGATGAATTGGGAACAGAGTTTTTCCAACACTAAGTTGTGAGTCATTAAATCAGTTTAATGGGTCACAACCAGCAACATCAAATCCAGTGTATATCACAAGTGGAACTTGTGTGTGTGTGAATGTGTAAGGTGTCCTATGCCACAATAGAAGATTTGAGGGCAGGTGTTGTGTGGGTTGGGAGAAGGTAAAGAGTAAAGAGTTGACAGAAAAGGTGGGCTAGAGTCCCATGTGGAAGGGGGACAGGGAGAACAAGAGCCATGGGAGGTTTTCTAGAAGAGAGTCAACATGATCATGTTGGTTTTGAGAGGCAGCAGAGGCAGCTGTGAAGGACAGACAGGGAGAAAGACTGTTCTGGGAGCCTGTTAGGAAGCTGACCCCACAAGCCCAGGGATGTTTAGTCTGGAACGATAGCCGTGGCAGAGAGGCGGAGGGAGATGAGAACAGAGGAGCTATTTCAGAGGCAGCACTGCCCCAGGCCTCGCCTCCCATCTCACCTGTTATGGCATCTCTGGGGACCCCCAACCTTACCCCTCTCCCGCAGTCTTGCTCTCCTCTCCAAGATATTTTCCTAAATAAACTCGAGTGTCTGCACCATAGGATGCAGTGACCAGCCTTTGCTTTGGCCGCTTCGGGCGGGAAGATAACACCCTCATCATGACTACGCGAGGTGAGGGCCGTCGGACCTGGCAAGGGGGTTCGAGTTGGGAATGAAGGGAACAGGCCAGATCCTGGGAAGGAGAGAAGGTGGATGGGAGGACGTGGGTGTGGAAAGCAAGGCTGGCAGACACAGGGGACAGCTCCTCAGCGGTTTGACCTGGTGACCTCAGGGCCAGGCCCTGGGCTGGATTGTGTCTCCGGTTCACCCAGCATCCCCAGCGCCTGCCACACCAGGAACATGAAAGTGCTCCACAAGTAACTGAAATGAATAATAACTAATGGTAGGAGGGTGTTTAGACAGACTTCACCCCTTCCAGAAACGCAATCTCAGCAGCAAGGCAGACATGTACAGAGATGAGACGGATGGTTTGGGGAAGAGAGACTGGAATGTAGTGTGACTGGGGAGGGAGGTCACGTCTGTTTCTGGCTGTCCACTTCCCTAGGTGGTGGCCTGATCATCAAGATCCTGAAGCGCACAGCAGTGTTTGTGGAGGGGGGAGGGGAGCTGGGCCCCCCACCAGCCCAGGCCACAAAACTCAGCGTGCCCCGAAAGACTCGGCTTTATGTGGACCAGACGCTGCGAGAGCGGGAGGCCGGCACCGGTGAGACTCAGGCCAGGCTCTTCCTCTTCCTCTGCTGCTCTGAATTCAAGCAGCATCAGCCAGGGAGCTGTGGGTGTGGGGCAGGGAGACCGAGTGGCCAGAGGGAGGCTGGAAAGGCCGTCGGAGCCTGCTTCGAAAGGGCCTGGAACGCAAAGCTAAGATGTTTTTGTTTAAGTTAGTGGGAGCTGGGAAAGATGTGAAGCAGAAAAATGCAGTAACTCAACCAGCTCTACCTTAACAAGGGATCTGGCTTGCAGTTTAAAGGTAAATTAGAGGATAAAGAAAATAACTAACAGGCTATTGTAGCCTAGAGAACCCAAGAAAAGCAATTGGTATATTAAAGAAATAATTAGGAAGTTCTCAAAGGTGACAAGTGTAAAATATTCAGAAGTCAATAGCTTTTGTGTATACCAACGATAACCAGTTAGAAAATATGATGGAAAGTTTCCATCCACAATGGCAAGGAAATCTCTAGAAACAAACTGAAGAAGATGTACAAAATCCAATAAAGGAGATTATAAAACTGCTCTCATGAACATCAGAGGTCACATGAATGACGAGATTTACCAAGTCTCAGGGTGGCAAGTCCTAAGGTAAGGTGGATTAATGAACAGCTTCCAGAATTAATAGAGAGACCTAGCGAAGTAACAGCGCAACCCCTGGGATTTGTTTTGAGGACCTGACCAAATGATTCTAACCGTAACTCTGAGAAATTTGGAGACAGTGGGAATGAGGGACTTAGCCGATCACTGAAGCTGTAGGAATTCACAGCTGTGATACCAATAGGGGAATTGATACCGATCAATGGCACATTTAGGAAGTCCAGAAACAGGCCCTTGTTTATGTGGAAAGTTAGTGTACATTAAAGGTATTATTTCAAATTAGTGGGGAAAGAAGACACTGTCCACAAAACATAATTAGAACAACTTGCTTCTAGAAAAAAAATTTAGAACTCTACCTCATAGCAAACACAATATTCTGGGTAAATTAAAAATAAAACTGTTAAAGTACGAAAGGAAAAGGAAAGGTTACTAGATGGGATAACATAAAGACGTAAAACTTGTGAATGGTAAAAAAGCACCTCATAAAGTCAAGGAAGAGGGCAGACCAAGTGCTAAATCTGGAGAGACCAGAGGAGTGCCGCGCGGGTGGGCTCTGGAGGGCTCTGAGGACAAGTCATCGATCTTGACAAATGACTAGAGTGAGGGGTGCACCTGGGTGACTTGAGGGGCGGGATGCCGTGCGGAGGTAGGGAAATGAGCTTGGTGTCTGCATCACTGAATTTGAGGGGTTGATGATGCGTCCAGGTGCAGGTGACCGTTAGGCAGTTAGAAGCAGGAGGCTGCCCCAGGTGCTGAGCTGCTGGAGACGCCCTGTCAAGTGTGGACATGGGCCAGGCCCTGAGGTGGGCACCGAAGACCCAGCAGGCACGCGTCCCTCTCAGTTGTTCCTCTTTGGAGTGGCCACGGCCAGGGCCGGACATGGGTTGTCCACGGGAGGAAGACAGAGGAGAAGAGGACCAAGGACAAGACTCCAGGGAACACCAGTGCTTATGGTGGAATGGAAACAGCCAGAAAAGGACCCTGAGATTGTGCGGGCAGCGAGGTGGTAGAACCAGGAAGAGGAAGCAGGAAAGAGTCCAGCATCCAGTGTCATCAGAAGGCTGACTGTTGGCCCTTGGCCCTCCTTTCCCCCACATCCTCAGCCTCTGCAGACCCTGCCCTCTGTACCTTCGTCTTGCACTCTCCCCACCCCCTGTACCCACCCCCGCCTCCCCTCCCCACCTCCAGCATCAGCACTCTGTGTGTCTCCTCAGCCATGCACCGGACCTTCCAGACCGACCTCTACCTGCTGCGCCTCCGGGCTGCCCGTGCCTACGTGCAGGCCCTCGAGTCCAGCCTGAGCCCCGTGTCTGCAACAGCCCGGGAGCCACTCAAGCTACACGCTGTGGTGAGCACCCAGCAGCCTCGGGGACAGAGGGGCAGAGATCGGGGTGGGTGGGAGCCCTGCAGCCCCAGAGCCAATTCCAAGTCAACTAGGCCTCATGCCCCTTCTCACCTTCCCACAGGCCAGGGACCAAGTCTCATGTCCTCCCCTGTGAGAGCGTGCTCACCTTCTCTCTCCTGGGCTGCCTCTGCCCCGCACTGGCCACACAGGGACACACTCTCCAGCTCCCTCATTCCAAGTTGTGCTCAGAAAAGCCCCAGACTTGGGGCAGGGCACACAACTCCTCGCCTTGGGATTTTTCTTCCCAGGAGCCTGGAGGGAGTCCTCCCGCTATGGTACCGGGAAGAAAGCTGTTCATTCAGTAACTGCCTGGGGCTTGCACAGGCAGAGGAGGAGCCCACACACCCACACACAGTGGCCTTAAGGTCATCAGGGCTCCAACCAGCTCTCAGTAGGTCCCTGGGGGGTGCCATCTCCCAACTGGGCTTCTGACTTCTCTTTCCCTAAAGGAAGTGGATAGATAGAGGAAGAAGCTACAGAGCAACCGAGGGTAAGAGGGAGGAAAATGAAACCATTTCGGCCACTGCAGGATGAGAGGGGAGGTGGGCCAAGCTTAGGAAGAGGGGCAGGGGCAGTGGTGAGGACTCAGGTAGGAGCTGGGACTTGTATCCCGAGGCCAGCTCTGCCTCTGACCCAACTTGCCAAGTGGCCTCTCTCAAACTTCTTCCCGGCCCTGGGCCTTTGCTGATTCCTGTGCCCACTGGAGCCAAACTTCTGGGCATTTTGAGAGGCAGATGGACAGTGAGCTAGAACAGCTGGAGGAGGGTGACTTGAGGACACTGATGAGGAAGCAGGGCCAGGGCACACCGTGTCCCACGCCCAAGGCCACTAGGTCTACCCACTCCACCCTCTCCATAGGTTCAAGGCCTGGGCCCCACCTTTAAGCTCACACTGCACCTGCAGAACACCTCGACAGCCCGGCCCATCCTGGGGCTGCTGATCTGCTTCCTGTACAACGAGGCGCTCTATGCCCTGCCCAGGGCCTTCTTCAAGGTACTTGACAGCCTCCTGAGACATGGAAAGGTGGGGAGCGGGGGGCTGATTAAATGCCCACAGAGCCTCCACCCGGTCGGAGGTGAGGGCTGGCAGGGGCTGCAGCCAGAGGTTAGGCTAGGGCACAACAGGGCCTCCGGGGAGAGCACCCAAGACCTGCCTCAGCTGCCCTACTCCCAGCCTGCCAGAGTCTCAGAGCCACGCAGCCGGTGCTGGAGAACAGCCATGCCAGGCCCTCCTGTGCCTCTCCCAGAAGCCTGTTGGTCCTGCAGCAGCTCTGGGAGCCTGTCTGCCTCAAGGAGAATCTTCTGGAGTGAAGGTCCTGGTTTTCCCCTGGCATGAGGGCTGATTTCCTAACGTCTTTGTCCCCAAACTTAGGTTCCCTTGTTGGTGCCAGGGCTCAGCTACCCCCTGGAGACCTTTGTGGAGAGTCTCAGTGACAAGGGCATCTCAGACATTATCAAGGTAGGTGGCCATTGGTACTGCTTGGGGAGGACAGCGGGAGGGCTGTCCCCAGGTGGCTGCCGGCTGGGGGTGGGTATCTGCACAGGAGAGGCCTTCCAGCCTCCCCAGCCCTTTTGACAGAGCCCTGGTGGCCTGTCATTAGGGCCAGTGCAGACCAGGCCAGGCTTGGCCGAGCAGGGAGGAAGGGCTCCAGGGGGCAGGACCCTACTGCCATGAGCACCTCCTCCACAGGTGCTAGTGCTTCGAGAAGGGGCTGGCAGCTGCCTGACCCCTGGACTGGAATTAAAGCCCCTGCGGAATTGGACCAGGAAGATCCAGCCCCTTTCACTGAGCTGGGCAGAGGCAGTGGCCCAGCCTGCTCCCCGCGCAGCAGGTGCTGGGCCACAGCTTCCCTTTCCCCTCCTAAGCCCCCCGTGCTCACCATCCGACCGCTGGTGACCTACAGCAGCAGGTCAGTGACTACCCAGGAGGTTCAGCGCCTTTCCTCTCAGGAAGGTGCAGGCACCGGCTCACTGGGCTCCTGCTGCTCCTCTGTCCTCCCCACTTTCCTCCAGAAACCACACCCAAGCCCAGAGGAAGAGCTCTGCAGCAGTCAAGGTGAGATGAGGGGCACGGCCGCCTTCTCCTTTGTTGCTCCCCTTAGGCACAGCGCCCATTGCTGCAGCTGGCCCAGCCAGAGGTGGCTGGGGCCTGGCCTGGGACAGTCAGAGGCTTTACTGGGTGAGACTGAACCCCCTGTTGCTCCCTGGGGTTTCAGAGGCTTAGCTGCTGCCAGTTTAGCTTGAAGCAAAATACATGCTCTGATCTCCCCTCGTGAGCTGAGCAGGGGACCCCTTCTTTCTATTCGGGGGCCCAGAATATAGCTGCCTCCCCACAGGGTGCTTTTCTGAAATCTTGGGCTCAGTCAAGGTCTCAGGCCTGTGATGCTCCATGAGGAGGGCATGGGGTGAAGACCACACAGGCACTGCTCCTGACGGGATGCTTGGGTCCAGAATGTACACCCAGGAGAGGAAGGCTCAGGTAGACGGAGCAGAGAGGGTGCTGGGGGGAACAGAGGGGCATTTCTGGGGGCTCTGGGGAGGTGGCACAGGAGGCAGAAGCCCAGAATTGCCGATCAAGATGCGCTTCAATGCCCTGGAGCCCAGAGCAGCCATGTGAATGGAAAGTTCACCTGGCAGTGGCCATAGTGTGAGGGAATTCGCTGGAAAGGCATGGACCAGAGGCTCGAGTGAGTCAGAAGGCTGAACAAAGGCACATGTTCAGCCCACAAGAACCAGAGACCCACAGTCCCGGCCCTCGGTGCCTCACAGCCCTGGCCAGTCTGCCTGGCCACCTCTCGGCATTCTGGGGGGGCCACTCCTGAGACAGGAGCCCCACTCCCGGAGGACCTACATCTTCCCTTCTCTGAGCAGGAGCAGCCGATGTGTGGCGACAGCTCAGGGTTGTAACCCAATCCCTGGGGACCTTAGTTTCGCCTTGTGTAAATGAGGCAGTTTGACCGGATTCCGCTCTAAAATCCTATGAGCTCGGCAGCTCTAGAGGAAGTGAGGAGTCGGCTCCAGAAAAGGGGATACTTGACAGGAATAACTGCAGAGACTTTGCCCTGAGGCCGAGGGCCCCAAGCTGACGGCCACTGCCAGGCAACAGCCTCTGTGCCCAAGAGGGACTGGGTGACAGCCACAGCCACCCCCTACCCGAGGAATGCATTCTGGGGCCAGGTTAACCAGTTAACTGCCACGATATTTTGAATTTAATTAAGAAAGGTCCGCCGCTTGCATCTATAGACGCTATGGCGTACAAATGGTTAAGACAAGCAAGCGGTCTAGACAAAAAAGAGCCCATCCCCCTCTATGTACAGTCCACACTCGCAGACATGGACCAATTGGGAGAGGACGGTGAAGGGTTCTGGATCAAAGCAACTGATGCGCAGGGGAACAAGCAGGAGGTTTCACCTGGAAATGGACAGACAGGGAGAGGGCGCTGGGGGCACAGCAGGGTCACTGTCAGAGGCTTAGCTTAACCTGAAGAGCTTTCTCAGGGAGCTTATCCGACAAGGAAGGGCCTGCTCTAGAACGTGTAGCCCCTTGTCACTGGCGCTGTGTCCTCCGGGCTGGGCTCTCACTGCTCAGATGGCTGTGTTCAACCAGATGACCTTACAGTCCCTCTCACCCCAGTGAAGTGATGAACTGTGTGAACTCGGAACAAAAAGGTCTGCTCTGGGTTCTCACAGCTATTCATGATGGAAGCGGAGAAACTGCTCCTAGGCCCAGCAACCAACGTGAGTTTATATGATGGACTACCATGTGCTGTCACACATGAACTGCGGTGATGTGTAAATGAAGCAAGAAGCAGTGCGCGGGACCCAGGGCCTCACTAGTCAGGACTCCGGGAAATTGTGTACATTAAGGAGGAGAGTTGGTGCCTGTAAAAAGAATATTTATCTAAAAACATGGACCTACTTAGTACTATGGAATTAGACCATAAGAAGAAAAGAGCATCTCCCCACCCCAGCACTGCTCCCCTGCTAGTCACTTGCAGTTATCTTAGCTATTTATTTTTGTAACATGCTTACACTGGTCTTGTTCGATTTGTCAATCTCAGACACTATCTGTTGGCTCCCTTTCCTAACAGATGAGGGACACCATCCCTTCCTTGTCTTTCCAGTTTGTAGGTGAATCAATATTCAGTTTGGATTACAATTTATATTATGTGAAAATTATTCACTGTGAACCAAGAATTGGGCTATAATTAAATTACCTTTTGAGTACCGGTACCTTTTGTTTTTCATGGAATTAATAATTACCCTGTTTTTTCCCTTTGCTTAGTTTTCTGTGCTAATTCTCCCCCTGCTGGGTCTGACCGTTCCTTTTTACTGAACACTTGCCTCCATCCGGGGGCAGGGAGGCTGGAGGGCTCCAGAGCTGCTGCAGAGCACGTCTCCCGGTTCCCTTTGCCGTGCCCTGGGCCAGCACCCAATTCCTGGGCCCCGTGTCTTCCTCCTCCATCATTCTGTACCCTCATCTGGTGAAGCATATCCACAGGTACTTTCTTTAAAAAGCCACTAGCGTTAACATTTTTAAGGCACTATTTGTCTGAAATTTTCTCTTTTTAAAAAATATCTTTTTATTGATTTTGGAGAGGGAGAAATAGAAATATCAATGATGAGAGAGAATCATTGATTTGCTGCCTCCTGCCCCACCCCCAACCCCCCGGGGATTGAGCCCCCAACCTGGGCATGTGCCCTGACTGGGAATCGAACCGTGACCTCCTGGTTCATAGGTCAATACTCAACCACTGAGCCACGCCAGCCAGGCTGAAATTTTCTTTATTCAATTCATACATATACGTGATAGTTTGGGTCATAAAATTTGAAGTTGAGAATCATTTTCATGCAAGAACATCATTTTTAGGCAGTGCTCCCATTAATTTTTATTTTTGTAAAAAAATAAATTGCTGTTGAGAAGTCCCATGCTCCGTTTGCTCCTGACCTCCTCTCTCTGAGGCTCTGAAATGTCAGGACACACCTTATTCTGTGTCATTATTTGTTGTGCCGTGGGTAGCGATGTGCATCCTTCAGTTCTGGAAAATTCCCTCCCATTTTCTCTGTTCTCTCTGGAATTCTGATCTGGCCCGGCATCTGTTAAATCCAGAGAGAACAGGATTGATCCTCTGATTTTCTTCTCTCTTCTCTTATTGTCTTTTCTGTTTTTGAGAGATTTTTATCTTCCAGCTCTTCACTGAAATTATTTTTAAAATGCTATTATTTTCTCAACTCTTTTTGTTCTCTGTTCAATCTTTGATCGTGGTGTCTTTTCAAGGAGCTCAACAACACCATCAATCAACTGGATATAACTGACATCTCTGGACTGCTTCCACTGAGCAGAACACGCATTTTCCTGACGTTCACATGGACATTCACCAAGAGAGACCACATTCTGAGCCATAGAAAACACATTCACAAACTTAAAAGAATGAAATCATACAATGTCTGCTATCAGATCAAATGGAATTAACAGGAAAATTCAGTTTCATGCAGATGTTGATTTCCCCAAAACTGATCTATAGATTCAATGGGTTCCATTCACAATCTCAAAGAGGTTTGTACTGTTGGAACTTGATAAGCTGATTCTAAAATCTACATGAAGCACAAGGACCAAGAATAGATCATAGGGGATCATACACAGTGGGGCAAAATAGAAAAATAAATTGTGGTATATTCAGAGGGTCACCATACAGCAAGAAGGAATGCCTACAGCTGCACACATTTAGACAAATCTCAGAAACAGTGAGTGAAAAAGCAAGTCACAGGAGAATAAACATGGTACAGTTCCATTTATATAAAATTCAAAACATGCAAAACCAATACAAATGTAATAAAATTACAAAGCAAAGCCAGAGAGTGATTAAGACAGTAGTGTGTCCTCTACCAGGGAGGGGCACCGTAGGGACGTCAAAGAAAATGGTATCCATTTCTTAAGTTGGGTGGGAGCATGTTGTTTCTCTTTATAAATATTTTCTTGCATCTCCTTTTTAACTAAAAAAACCTCACACACACACACAAAAACACACTAAAAAGATACTCTGGAGGAGGGGTAAACAGAGGAGGGAGCAGGTGGTTGCAGTGCCCATGTCACAGGAGAGCACCTCCCAAGCAGCATCTGTAGACGTTCACTTCACCCCATTTGTAGTCCTGCCTCTCATCCCTATTCTCTCCCGTGCCCCTGAGACATAAAGCTTCTCAAACAGCCCCTCTCCCACCCCAGAAGGGTGGCTGCTTGATTGTCGGGGGTGGGGTGGGCACTGGGGGAGAGGCACCCTAGCTGCTCCTCAGACTGGGTCAGCCCCTCCTGTGTCAGCCCCAGGCCTTGCCTTCCACGTTGCTCATGGAATTCCTGAGCATCTGCAGGTTCTGGGAGGCAACTTGGCTGCCTCTTGGCCCCTCCCTCTGGGAACACAATTTCATTCTCTACTTTTCTGCCAAGAGAGTAAATGAACCTCCACTCACTTTCCATCTTTTAAAACTCCAGGCTCTCTGGTCTACTGCTGTCTCCTTCCTATTTTCTTTCTCCTTGTAAATATATATTTTTTCTTTACTATCATTTCAGATTTGAAGAGGAAAGAGGTACATTGATGTGCTTAAAACCTGCCACATTTAATTAGTTACTAGATTTAAATGAAAAGGTTTAGTAAGTAGCTCCTGAACAGTCCCAAGAGGAGTGTAGCCCTGTCAGCACCACCTGTCACAGATGCTTGAAGGAGAAAGCACAAAGATCTGGGTTCAAATCCTGACTCCTCCATTTACTACCCCATGAACTTATCACATCAACTCTCAGAGCCTTAAGTTTTCTACCCACATAATTGCTGTTCAGTGTATCAGGTTAGCTAGAGAGAGGTTCAATGAAATTGTTGATGTGGGAATGCTTCTAACTCTAAAGCAATGAACCTGGGAAAATATTTTAGATGTGCCCTAACCGGTTTGGCTCAGTGGATAGAGCATCAGCCTGCGGACTGAAGGGTCCTGGATTTGATCCTGGCCAAGGGCACATACCTCAAGTTGCAGGCTCCTCCCTGGCCTGGGCCCTGGTTGGGGCGCGTGCAGGAGGCAACCAATCGATATGTCTCTCTCACATCGATGTTTCTCTCTCTGTCTCCCACTCTCTAAAAATCAATGGGAAAATATTCTTGGGTGAGGAAGAAAATCAGAATTTTAGATGCTCATGCCCTGGATCAATACATGCCACCTTGGCCACTGGTGCTCCCACCCCGTCCCCACCACGGCCACAGAGGCAGAGCCCTGGCTCCTCAGGTGTTCAGTGGTTCCCAGACGTGACAATCAGAGGAACCTGAAACAGCAGCCGGGCAACAGTGAGGGACCAGAAACCCATAAAGCTAGAGGGAATCCAAGAACCAAGTGGGCGCTTTATTAATCTGGCAAAGGGGCAGCTAGGTTGGCCAAGCAGCCCCTTGCCAGACCCTCCACTGCACTCGGGGGCCACTGATAGAGGCAGACTCACAGGGCCCACGCCCTGGAGACTGAGTCCAAGCTGGGCAGGGGCAAGGCCGAGGATGGGGCTGGAGTTGCTGAAAGCAGACATTAAGTACCAACCTGCCTCTCCTCCTGAGGCCGGGGTGGGCCTGAAATGAATTATGAGCCCCTTCACCCCTCCTCCCTCCCTGTACAGCTCTGGCTCTTCCTGGAGTCAGGAGGCCACCAGTCCCACATCAGCTGTGGTCTGGAAGGTGATCCCGTCCCCAGGCAACGGGGAGGCCAGAAAGGGCCAGAGCCAGACAAGGATCCAGCGGGGCCCCAGGGCTGCCTGCAGGTTGTGGCAGGGGCCCAGGTCATACGAGTGCTGGCCCCGCGCCCATTCCCAGGTGGTCTGGCCCCGAAGCAGCAGCATCCCATGGAAGAGCAGCCCAGCCCCGCAGAACAGGGCACCCGCCACACACGTGTCGGTCACGAAGGCCAGCGCGAACTGCGCCAGAGACACTCTGCCTGCAAGGAGAGAGCAGACGGGATCAGGGGGCAGCAGCAGGCCCAGTCCCCCAAAGCCCAGCTCCTGCCCTCCAGCCACCCGCTACCTCCACCATGAAGCAGAGTTCATTCCTCCCCCAGCAAACAGTGAGTCTCTGGTCCCTAGCCGGCCCCTGCTGGGTGATGGGAACACACCAGTGACCCGGACAGACACAGTCCTCTACCTTAGGTATGACTTTCATTCATGCATCCCAAATGTTTGAGCACTTCCCATGTGCTGGACATGGTGCCAGGCACCGCAAATATCAATGAACGGTAGACAGAACCTCTGACCTCAGGGAGTTCATAGACATTCATGAGGCCCCTTCTCAGTTACTTAATTACAGCTGTACTGTGTGCTACACTGGAAAAGTAGAGCGTCTCTCTGTGGAGGCCTCCCAGGCTTCATCCTGGCCCACAGTCGGTCACAAGTATCTGCTGAACTAAGAACTACAGGACAAGGGTACAGAGGGGACTGTGGGTATAGAGGTCAGGAGGAAGGAGGCAGGGGAGAGAAAGCCCAGAGCATTTGGGGGGGGGCAGGGGGGGGGACAAAGAGTATAAAAGACCAGTGGGGCTTTTATCTTGGGTGGTGACAGAAGAAAGAGGAATAAATGTCATCCAGAACTTGGCCTCTCAATCAACCTCCTGATCCAAGTCTTCCCCTGCCTGTAACTTTCACTGGCTCCCCACCGACCAGGCAAGTGAGGGCCATCTCTTCACATCAGCATTCAAGGCCTCCACCATCCAGTCCTAACCTACTGTCCTGGCCTTAATTCTCACAATTCCCATCCAATTGCCTTTGCTGCTCCCTGCCCAACATCCCGGGCCTCGATTAGAATGGTCCCCTTTAGAATACTCCCCCAGTGACCTTCCCCCAGTGACCTCCCCAGTCTTTCCTCCTCGGCCAACACCTCCTAGAATCCTTCCCTAATTCTCCCAGGCAGATCTCTGTACCTGTGTTCAAGCACTGTATTTTACCATATTCAGTTGAATACCAGGCTGTCCTCACCACCAACCCCATAAATGATACTGGGACTGGGTCCCCAGGGCATTGCTAGGGACTGCCCAAAGCCCCATCTCCCACCAGAACGGCCCACTACTAGGGCCTCTGCCTCTCTGTGGAGGCCTCCCTGGCTCCCACCTGTGAGCAGCATGAGCCAGGGCAGCAGGAGGAGGGCAGCGGTGTGGAGGGGCGTGTGGGCTTGCAGCAGAGCTGCCAGGGCAGGGCCCAGCAGCACAGAGACATGGAGCAGGAT